TTCTGCATCTTAGAACGGTACAGCTTGAATTGAATTGTGAACAGCTTTCTGAACTGTGTGTTGCAAGACATTAGTGTGTCGGCTGCAGTGTGTAGGTGTGTCACGCGAACACACCCCACGCTCCTCCAGGGGCTGGAAAGGGAATAGTTTAACCTCCGGTTTCCTAGTAAAACTGAACTACTGTGTCGCGAAATGACACAAAACTGAATCACTGCATCGTGAAATGATGCATGTCTAAAAAGTGTGTCACCAACATGAGAAGATTGGAAAGCTCTGCTTTAAACCTTGGGGTGGAGCATGCTTTAGCAGAAATGCTTATGTACCAACCACTCCTCCTCGGAAATGGAATTCGCCTTGTGTGGCTGTATTTATTTAAGTGGTGCGTCACAAATTCAGTTCATTGTGGAAGATAATCACCTGCTTTCCATTTCTAGAGAAAGTCTCAAGTCAAAGCTAGCCCACAGTTGACTCACAGATGTAACTCTGGTAGGAATTCTCAGACCTTGAAAACAATATTGGGCTCTGTTATGACTGGAGAGGGTGCGCCCAGAAGAAAAGCTTTACACACAAATCTCCTAAAGATAACACCACAAGATAGAACACTGCATTCTGGAATCATTTGCAGGTTGTTTACCTTAAATCTTCCTCGTTTTCACATGTTAAATACTTTTTATGCACAACTGCTCTCAACAATTATGTTGGCCAGATTGCTATCTCCCTCACCCCTTATGGGCCAACTTTGGCAGGTGGCAAGGGGGCTGATTATGGTGGGTATCAGTATGCGGTGAGTTACGGCACCAGTTCCATCAAACAGAGTGGGGGAACATCGAAAAACAGCTTAACAAACTTACAAAAGAAGCTCAACTGTTCTTGCAACCCCCCCAAAAAAACCCCTCAACACTTTCTTAATTTTTAAATTTCTTAATTTTGGGCTCCCAAAAATAAGGGTCGTCTTATACATTGGATTGTGTTATACACGGAAAAATACAGTAGATCTGATACAAGCCTGAACTTTTCCCAGCCTTGGCTGTAAAATATTTTAGTTGGGGTTTTTTAATTCTTCTGTTACCCCTACAGGTTCACTTCCCTAATATAAGTAAAATGAGAAGAAAAGCTTTTAAGATAATTTTGTGGGGGGAAACCCCAGATCACACATCATGTAGCAGAGATGCCAATTGGGTGGGGAGCTGGGCTTCATTTGCCTAGAGGCAGGACAAGGCAAGTTAGCACTAGTGGGCCATGGAGGCGTGAAGAGAACCACAAGCCTGCTGCCAGGAACATTTCGGGGTGGAGGATTCAATTATATGGCGCCAAAAGGATAGCATTTCATCACTCTTCCATGCCGAGGGTTGGGGGCAGCCTGTTTGAGTTCATAACTTTATTCTAACAAGTCTCCCACCCCAGGCTTCAAGCAAGCTCTGCATGGGCCTGCTCCCATGTTACCTTTCCGTGTTCCTGGCCTACCCATTATGAGAGTTGTTGGAAAAGGTGGGCAATTTGATGCCAAAAATCTAATGCCCCCTTAGCAACTTCAGATATTTCACATTAATAAGGCCCTCAGATTAATCCACACATTTCAAAACGGACTCCAAAATCCAGCAAATCCTTATTTTTTTTTTATTAAAAATCTCAATAGTACTTTAACTTTCCTCAGATTTGAATGAGGTCAGTGATATGGACTCCATCAATGTCACTTTCCAGTTTAATTGGATGTTCCTTCCCTCCTAGGAGGTGAACAGAACTAGAAACCTGCTCTTAGCAAAGTTGTGTTTATCAACATTTTGGATAGAGGTTTCTCCATTGCAGTGCCAAAAACTACAATAATGTCTTTAGGTAGGGCACCGAACCCTCAGTGTCTGAAACCCCAATTCCTAGATTCGACTTGATCGGGTTTTTAAAAATTTGTATCATTCGGGCTTATTTTTCTGGCAGAGACACTGAAAGGGTGATATTTTAACAGGTGCTTTAATTGTCTTTGTTTGTATGCATTTGCATAAATATTGATTTTCCCATTGCTACATGCCACCTTGAGCATGACTCGTGTGCTCCAAGTAACTGTCAATAAATCTCCAGGATAGCAGAAGTGCTGCAAAGCACCTGATGTCAATATTTTTAAAATACAGAGCCAGGGTATGGTATATTGACATAACTGGAATTTGCAGAATCAATATATTAAGCAACATCCTGGCATTTTCAAACATCACAAGGCAATCCCTATCTTGATTACTTGTTTACTGGTTGGCTAAGCTATCAGGGAATTGAGAGGGAAACAGGATTTCAACAGATAGTAATCAGATGGTTTATATTTACACTTTGAACAACATTATTATTATTTGCACTTTGTAGTCATTTCTTTTTACAAAATGGAACTCAAAAGTGACATACAAAAGAAAAGTAGCATGTAAATTAAAACCAACAGAAAACTAAAACATGCTTAATAATAATTAGTTTAATAATGATGATAATTTTATTTATACCCCCTCCATCTGACTGGATTGCACCAGCCACTCTCTGACCATCTTTTCAAATATGAACCAGCAATTTCAAGTGCAAAAAGCCTGTGTGCGTACTCTCACACTTTCACGCAGGTACACCACCTACAAAGCTCACCTCATTTTATGGAGGGATCAACTCTGGGTGAGAAAAGGGACAATAGACATGCTCTGATGGGTATTCAAAAAGAGCTTACCTCCCACCTAAGGACTTTGATATATGTATGGATAGAGAGAAAAGTCAGAAGTTCAGTACAGCCCACTTTGGAACAGTTATTGAAAAGACAGGGCCAGAAGTGACTTTTACAGTGTAATGCTGCAACAGTAGAAAGAACTCTGATCTTTTGGCACAAATAAAACAAAACCAAACAGTTCAATCAATTTGTAGTGAAATCATGAACTGACAAACTAGTGACTATCTTGAAAGCCAAAGTTTGACTTTACTAAACAGTGAGATTTCATAGAAAGGGCCTCACCAGATGTTGAGGATTCCCCATGATGGGTTTTTCATGATGTTATCAGGACTCTTATACCCAAGCTTAACCTGAGTCAACAGTGTGATATCGCAGCAAAACAAGCTAATGCTATTCAGCTGCATCAAGATAAGTATAGTGTCCAGATCAAGGGAAATAATAGTACCACTCTATTCTGCCTTGGTCAGACCACACCTGGAATACTGTGTCCAGTTCTGGGCACCACAATTTAAAGCCATGGTTCTATGAATACCATTTGTGCCTGCAAAGCTCTAAAGTGACCACACTGCTGCATTTGTAATAGATGCATGCCCTTATTACATTTTCTGCTAAAATCTTGTGACTTTTCATAGCACACATGTTCTGGGGGCTTTGTTGTTGCTATAGTCCAAGACTGCTCCTCCAGGAGGCAAGAATGCAGTAACATTGGGGAAGAACTGCAGAACAACTAATGAAGCAGAATGATGGCCCAGGATAAATCCACTATTAATGTACTACTGTGTTGATGTCACATTGCAGAAAACACCCGCAAAAATAAACAAAAAGCAGTCTGGAGGGGCCCAAACAAAAGCCAAACACACCCTAAAGCATCTCATCAGCAAGCCATATTACTTATCAAAGGATTTAAATTATTTTTTAAAAAATAATCCTGTTCAACCTTGTTTTTCAGCCTCATCTTCAAACCTTGTGTATACCTATATCTATGTCTGTTATCTTTACAATGTTGAAGATGGCAGTTATATTACCTTTCACATATGAATGCTTGTTGGCATAAAGACAGCAATTACACGCTCTTGCCAGAAAGTGAGTTACCACAGAACAAAACCACAACACAAAACTCTTTGGACATGCACAACCTATTAATAAAGTATTTGAGCTAAGGTGTCTTGTCTATCACTGCATCTACTGGTACAGGCAATTACCATAAACCCACATCTAAGTATTTGGAAAGTTATGCCCAAGATAGAATTCCCTTAAACAGCTACAATAATCATACAAACATGTTCCATCAACTCATGAAACGATTTCACAGAACACCTATCATCCCTTCCACTCAAGACTCGGATTTTCATTTTGTTTGAGAGGAATCAAAAGATAGGTATCTATCATTACCACACAAACACACAAATCTGGGCTCTCTTTCATCCCCACAAATACAGAAGAGATGTTAAAAGTGTGGAAAATTCTGACATACATGGGTCCTGTGCTATTTGAAAATTGAGAATTCACAAGCATGTTCAAACTAATATTCCATTTCTATCCCATCTGTATTCATAATATTTTTTTATTATATTCTGCACCTATTTTGTCAGTTGACTATCCCCAAAGTGCACGAGCCCTGTCCTCATTTTATATTTACACATTCACTGAATGCACAAGAGGGACCAGGATTGTTTCTGCTTACCTTATCCCCAGCCTTGATACATTTACCCACAGGTGAGAACAAGCTCTGTGTGAATGTAGGATCTGAATTGAAGATCAGGAGTTGCAACTAAGAATGAAGACCCTCCAGTTGCATGCACTCAGAGCACATTCTTACATTCAGCACAGCCAGTGGCAAAGCTAGCAAGCATAATGATCCCACTTCCCCTCCATATATTCAACGAATGCGAAATTATGAAGGTGTGAACAAAGTTTCAGTTTCAGTCTTTAGGACATTTCCAATGATGCAGTTGAGGAGGGTGTGTCAAGAACGCTCATTTTGTTATTCCCTGAGGCACATGCTCACCAAACTGCATCTTCAAAGACTCATGTGAGAGTTATATACAATCTGCCTATATTACGTCAACAACTTAATAATTAGCAAGAGTAAACACTATCTCAGATAGTGCATCTTTTTTAAGACTTCAGAAGAATAAACCAGGTATAGGAAAAGCACTGTTCACTGTTTTACTTCTAAAGCAGTGTGGAACTTTAAAAATGTTTCCCCTTCCACATAACTATTTGCTTACCCACACTTACAGTAACTGCATACAAATGATTTTTAAGGCACACTTATATGGGTACAACCCCTATAGAACATAGTGGGACTTACTGCCAAGTACAAATGCTCTGTAAATCAGTCACAGAATTTCAAGCCTCAGGGACATCTGTTGTTTTATCTTCATAGAATCATAGAATTGTATAGTTGGAAAGGACCCTGAGGAACAACTTGTACCTTTTCTTGTAAATTGCTTCTAAATATGCCTGCCCCTTTTCAACAAAAAGATCCTGGGAAGCACGTGCAGTATCTAAGCTCACTGCTTCACCAGGGCAAAAAGGGTATACCTGCAACAAAAGGTAAAGCATTCAGTCTCATAGCATGAATTTGCAGGAATAATGGAAAAAAACACTGTAGGAACGGATCCCTTTAAGAAAAAGGAAACCACAGAAATTTCTGGAATTTTGCCAGACTGGAACCATATCCAGTATCTTTTGACCTCTGAACTCTTTCAGAAAAGCTCTCCAACCATCGTATCTGCAAAAGGCATTTGTAACTTGAGTTTGCACAAGATGCCCAACCAAGGCAGATCCTGTTTCTAATGTCCATGCATTTCGGCAAGATGTAGGCTCAAATGAGTCACACACTTTTGAGTTAAGTTCAGCTTTTCATTTCCTACATAGTGGCCAGAATGTAGAACTGAATTGAGAACTACACTCATTCCCTATCCAGCGTTAATGTTCTTCATCTAAATGATGCATTTCAGATTAATCACATTTTCACTTATAAGGCTGGAATTGAGTTTTGCTTAAGGAGGCCTGCAAAATGAATGCTGCAACTGCATTTTAAAACTCATAACATCTGCACCTGGTAGGGAGTGCAAACGGCTCTAGGAACATTTTACGTTCACCTACCTGGGAGTAAGCCCAACAGAATTCAGTGCAGCTCATTTCAGAGCAAAATTACTTAGGGTCACACAGTCAGTACCACCCTAAGAAATCTATTTCTAGAATACATAAAAAGAGGCCTGCTGGAGCAGACGAAAGGCCCATCCCACACCATGATCAATCAAGCCCAGAAACTATAATAGTCCTTGTCCAATTTTTTGTGGTTTGCTTTTGCTTTAATAACTGAAACAGGTTGTGTACACATGGGCTTAGGCAAAAGGAGGCAGGGAGGGGCAACTCCCCCACTAACTAAATCAATAAAAATCAATAAAAATACATAGCTAACTGAGGTTCTGCCTCCCCTGACAAAATGCCTGCCCCTCCCCCAACAAAAACCCTTGCTTTGCCCATGTGTGTACACACCATGCATTAAATCTCCCCCAAAAGAAAAATATTGTAAACTGTAGCTCTTTGAAAGGAAAACTACAGTTCCCATGACTCTGCATGTGTGCTTTAAATGTATGGTTATGTACACAGCCTAGGTAAAGGATTTCATGAGAAGTATATGTTGGGAAAGATGGAGGGCACTAGGAGAAGGGGACGACAGAGGACGAGATGGTTGGACAGTGTTCTTGAAGCTACCAGCATGAGTTTGACCAAACTGTGGGAGGCAGTGGAAGACAGGGGTGCCTGGCGTGCTCTGGTCCATGGGGTCATGAAGAGTCGGACACGACTAAACGACTAAACAACAACATCAATAACATAGATTATTGCCTCTGTCCTAGTAAGCATTTTCCCTTCATTGCCTAATGGGGTTTTGCTGTTTTCTGGAGAGATAGCAAGGTAAGGCTGGCCCCCAACCAAGAAAAATTAAAGAAATAAAGTTCGTTCAGAAGCAACCTTCAGTAAAGCAAGAAAGAATAAATTAAAACCCATCACCTGCCGTTTGGCGCTGTTTCCAGTTCACCTGTTGAGAACTAGATGATGCAACCGGAAGGTGAATGAGAAGAAACAGGCGCTGCCCCAAGGCTCCGGGACGTGGGGGAGAGGGAGGGGGAGAAAAAGTGCCCAACGCAAACACACCCTTAACAAAGAAGTCCTCTAGCGATTGGGGCGGTCAGAACTGGCGCTGCCTGCACCTCGTCCTTTCCTCGCCCACTTATTGCCCTAGATCAGATGCGCATCCCACTCCTTAACTAATCGCGGGAAGAGGATAAAACCAAGACTCACCTGGTGCCTGAAAGGAAGGAAAGGGCAGCGGGCTAGCTGCGTGGATGGGAAACGCTCCCCGCAAGCAGAGCAGAGAAGCAGCGCCCGATCCAGCCGCGCAGAAGGTTGCTCGGCGTGTGCAAGCAGCCTTTCCCAGCCCACAGTCTCTTTTGGAAAGAGCGCGGGCGGTGATTGGCTAGGACGGGGGCGTAGGGGGGACACACCCCGCCAATGAGAAGGCGGCGTGTCAGTCCTGCAGCCTGCGCAGATGGTTTCTCCGAGCTGCATGGCAAAGGGAAATATTACGACACAGGGAACTCAGCTAGGTTGTAGGGCAGCAGTTCTTTTGCTTGAAGACTCGCTTTCCGGGTTAATTTTGATGCCTTGGCACTCTCTCTCTCTCTCTCTCTCTCTCTCTCTCTCAGACACAGCTGCTCATAATAAGATGCTATGTAAATATGGCTTGTGTTTTAAGCTGCTAATGTGAACCTACCCTTTATCTGTTTAGGTGTTTTGTTTTTTATGTTTTTTAAAATTAGCTCTGAATCTTATTTGCCATTGATTTTAGATATGTGCCTCAGGCATCTTCCAACTGGCAAAAGAACTGCCTTAAGGAGCTAATTCTGGGTATCATGAACAATCACCAACTTGTTATTTAATTTATTGTATTTTTACTGACAGGGAGAGGCACTTGTGAGATTTTTTGCCTCAGCTACTGAAATAACCTGCCCAGCCTTGAGTACTAAGCACCTTGACTTGGACAGTTCACATATATTCATTGTTCCTCCTCAGGGACCCTACGGGTCATTAGTCCAATAGGAATCTCAACACGTGCGCCCCCCCATCCAGTTTAATACCATGTCGGACCCTGCTTAGCTTTGCAAATGTGCTACCAGTTTTATTACTGCATCACCACACTGCTAACATTCAGCAGAGATGCTAACATGTGGCAGGATTATATGGTTTAAAAATCGGTGTCTCCGATACACTAAGAGCAGCTATTACTTATTGCTGTTTATTTAGAGCATTTGTACCCCACTCTTCAGTCAAAAAACCTCTCAAGTGGCTTATATACAACCAAATTAGTACAAGCCTGCAGGCCTATATAACTTGAAAGACGCGACACAAAAGCAAAACGTGATGGTGAGGAAAGAGTGGGAAGCAAACTCAGACATTTGCTCTTAACGTTAAATACTGTAGTATTTTTTTATGATGACCAACTGGCATGAAAAGAGTTCGTAGACAGGAAGAGCTTTGGCAGAGCTGCTCCTTTAGCAGCGATGCAAAGGGCCCTGCTTCTCATCTCCCCCACTGCTCCAGCCTGCACTCTCACACTTTTGCACACACTAAAAGCAGCAGCAAAAAACGATCGCCTTGCTCTTGCCCTGCCCACCTCTCCTGTAAACAGTCTCAACTCTTGCTGGCGGCTGGCCTTCCCTTTCAAGCAATAGGCATATTGCGCAGCCGCCACTCGAAGCTGTCGAATCACACCGGAAGTCTCGGGGCGCGTTCTAGTCCGCGCTTCCTCCCTATATCTCGAGTTCAAGCCGGCGGCGCGGAGCGCAAGATGCGTGGGTGCCGGGCTGCGTGGCTCCAATCAGCGCCTGCTTTGGACTACGCTGCCGGGCGATGCGCTTTGTCTCCCGCGGGGAGGATACGGAGCCCCTGCGCCGCAGCTAAAAGCAAGCCTGAGTCAGCGCGCCCGATCCTCGGCCTGCGTTGCCGAGGGAGCCACCAGCGCCACTGCTGACTCATCATCGTAGGCTCATAGAATCATAGAATCATAGAATCATAGAGTTGGAAGAGACCACAAGGGCCATCGAGTCCAACCCCCTGCCAAGCAGGAAACACCATCAGAGCACTCCTGACATATGGTTGTCAAGCCTCTGCTTAAAGACCTCCAAAGGAGACTCCACCACACTCCTTGGCAGCAAATTCCACTGTCGAACAGCTCTTACTGTCAGGAAGTTCTTCCTAATGTTTAGGTGGAATCTTCTTTCTTGTAGTTTGGATCCATTGCTCCGTGTCCGCTTCTCTGGAGCAGCAGAAAACAACCTTTCTCCCTCCTTTATATATTTGAACATGGCTATCATATCACCCCTTAACCTCCTCTTCTCCAGGCTAAACATGCCCAGCTCCCTTAGCCGTTCCTCATAAGGCATCATTTCCAGGCCTTTGACCATTTTGGTTGCCCTCCTCTGGACACGTTCCAGTTTGTCAGTGTCCTTCTTGAACTGTGGTGCCCAGAACTGGACACAGTACTCCAGGTGAGGTCTGACCAGAGCAGAATACAGTGGCACTATTACTTCCCTTGATCTAGATGCTATACTCCTATTGATGAGGCCCAGAATTGCATTGGCTTTTTTAGCTGCCGCGTCACACTGTTGGCTCATGTCAAGTTTGTGGTCAACCAAGACTCCTAGATCCTTTTCGTTTCTTGCTGCGAGCCCCGTCCGTTGGCGTCGCCTCTTCCCATGAAACGTGCCCTTGCAGGATCGAGGGACATTTCACACGTTGTGAAATGGATACCCTGGTGAAGATTTCCATCTGTACCCAGCGTGAAGATGCATTTTCTTACAGAGTTGCAATAGTAATGCACTCAAGTCAATGGACAAACCACATTGAGCACAATGATTTGCTTTAAAGAAGGGTTTAAAAAACAAGACAAAGTTTCAAGAGTATAGCATTCAAGCAATTGACCAGTTTATGTTGTGGGGTGTTAGTCTGGATAGCATCTGAGGGCCATTTTGTTGTTTTTAATATTTAATGCTGTATTGTTTTTAACACTTGATTGGAAGCCGCCCAGAGTGGCTGGGGAAACTCAGCCAGATCGGCGGTGCATAAATAAATTGTTGTTGTTGTTATTATTATTATTATTATATTTGTGCCCCACCCCTATCTTATATTTCTTCCTGTCTAAGTGTAGAACTTTACATTTTCCCCTATTGAAATTCAATCTGTTAAGGCCATCTTGAATCAGATTCTGTCTTCTGTAGCATTAGTTACCCCTCCCAGTTTGGTGTTATTTGCAAATTTGATGAGCATCCCCTCAAGATGTTGCACAACAACAGACCCAGAACAGAACCCTATGGGTACCCCACATGTCATTTCTTCAGGCTGATGAGAAACCATTAGTGAGCCCTCTGGGTTTGGCCAGCCTGCTACAAATACACCTAACAGTTACCTCATCCAGCCCACATCGACTTTGTCAGAAGACTTATTGAAATCAAGATACACTACATCCACAGCATTCCCCTGGTCCACCAAGCTTGTAACTCTATCAAAAGAAAGGAGATTGGTCTGGCATGACTTGTTTTTCAGACATCTATGCTGAGTCCTGGAACCATCATATTATTGTTCATGATCTTAGGAAGCAATTGACTGAGGGGAAGCATACAAATTAATTTAAGGGTAGTATGCAATTTCATAAAATAAATACAACTAAAAGGTGGCATTTGTTTTAGGTGAACTGGCAAGTCTCACTGACTTCTTCCTGAGGCTGGACAAAAAGCCTGCTTTGCAAGTCACATTTGCCTCAGCACTTTTACAACCAAGCTGCAGATTAAAACTCATTGTGAGTTTGTTATAATAAAGAACCCCCAAGTTCAGCTTTCATATGGCACTTTAAAATTGGCTTCCATGTAGAAATAAACTCTGAATTTTGGCACAACCTGGAGTTGCAACTACTCAGGAGTGCTTAGAGAATAGGCTTTAATTTTTTAGTTCAAAAACTGGATTTATTGTAAATGCCACATTCACAGAGAACAGATTTCTTAGTAACAAAGAAACATACAGATTTATATAACTAAGCATCTTGTCCGAGTAAAGAAATGCTCCTTCACAGCTTTCATTTAGAGGTGCCTACGCTAACCTAAATAAGCAGAAAGCATAACAAAAGAGGGAAACTTAAATGAGTAACTGCTTATGCACAATTTAATGTATATAATATTTTGTATTATATACATGAACAATTTAATGCATATCCAAATGTAAAAACCAGCTCTTCTGCAGTACATAGCAATCCCCACCCCACCCAAATCATTCATCAAGGTCAAAGAAATATTTTTTCCATAAGAAATCAGTTACGCAAAGAAAACTGTATCACTACAAATTTTTATTCAGAAGCCCATCTTTTAAAAAAAGTTTTCATTATGAACTTGTTTGGTCAATCAACTACAACACTTTCTAACAGATAAGGTAGAAATGGCATGGCTCAGAATCGTCCAGATCTTTCACGATCTCTTGACCGCCTTCTATCACGCTCTCGGCCACCACCGCCGCCGCCGCCACCACCACCACCTCCTCCACCTCCGCGACCACGATCTCTGGATCTAGAGCGACGTTCACGGGACCTTGACCTGGATCTATGCCTGGTAGAAAAAAATGAGCACAGTGAAAAACTTTCTCACATTTGTCCTTGCATCAAGACTATGTAAGCAACAACTGCTCAAATACAAACCCTTTTTTTAAAAAAAAAACCTTGTTCAAGGTTTTTACGCAAGAGTCTGCTTTTTTGAATACTAAAACTGTGCTGCCCATACTTTTTGTTAGTAACCTAGGAGACCTGAGCTTTGGTCCTGGTAAGTAATTGCCCTCTTCTAAATGGATGGAGCTGAAGGGTGTGGAGTCTTGTTTGCAGCCAAATATGGCTGCATTAGAATAGGGCAACAACGGAACACACACATTAGGCATTTATAAAAGGCAATTTTAACAGGTCAAAGAGTATTTCAATATTTAGTAAATGTCTTCACCCTTTGGGAAAACAACATGTAAATAAGCAAACTGCCCTCAGTGGCCCCTTCTTGTCACTTCCTAATTCTTATTCTTTATTAGATTTCTTTTCTTAGTCCCTAGGGCAGGTTACAAGTACAATATCAAACATGATTGTTACTGCCCTGCCCCCCAGCATACAACAATTAATTGTAGGGCAAGCATAATTAAGATGGCTGTGCCAACGCAGACCTTGCTGGTTTCCATTCCTGGCTCCTATCTTCCCCCAGGCCCTGCCATCATCCAGCTGAGCTACACCAGAGGCAGCAGTGCTAGACCCAACAACATCTGTCCCAATATGATGTGTGCTAGAATCGGATTCACATCTAAGAGCCTGTGCATATGCTATGCTGTATATAAATACTACTATGTATTTAGCAGCTCGTGGAAGTGGTCCACATAGAGGAGGGTAACCAGATGCAAGGAAAATACAGAATTTGTGTGCTGCAATATTCTGCAACGTCCTTTTCTAACATTTCAAAACTTACGCAACTACATCCTAAATTCAATTATGAATTATCCTTTAGAGAGGAGCATTTTACCAAGCCCAGGTAGCAGGTGACAAACAAGTAGTTCCCAATTATGTACTACTACCTTGCCCCATTCAGGTTTTAAACCAGCATGTTCTGGCATAATTATATAATAGATCCCATCCCCCAAAAGTAGTATTTGTAGAGCTGTGGATACAGCTAAACTTGGGAAAAGCAGAGAGAGCTTCCTCTTGCATTATGGGGAAGATGTGCAAACTCATTCCAGAGAAATCCCTGGAATTTCTTTGGGGGACTAACTTTTCGTTGACAAAACGGGTGATATCCAACGTCAGTCAAACTCTGAGCAGACCCATAGACATCAATGGCTGATTTCCAGTTGTGGAGTCACGCTTGTGCAACACTTCTGCTTGCACAAATGAGACTTGTTTTTTCCTCCCCTCCCCCATGGGACCTGCAGCAGGAAGGGAGGAACAGGACTCATGTTACATTTCCTGGTGTGACACTGGATGTTTCTCAATGGACTAAATAACTTAGGCAGTATAGAAATTTAATAAACAACAACAACTTAAGGCCATTGATTTCAATGAGTCGTACTTGGATATCACTTGTGATTGTTTTTTGGTTTTAAACAGCGGTAGGTGGCGATAGAAAATTAGAGATTAAAAAGTTCACTGAGATATTGTTTTCAGAATGAAGCACTGATTTCAAATAAAACTTAAATAAATATTGAAAGATACTTGATGTATCACTTTTCTAGGCAAACTTCACAAAGCTGCTTACATAGAAATATTTAAACAATAAGCACCGATTAGAATTATGTAACAAACTGATCAACACAAGTTACAACACTGGCTCAAGATGTTCCCTAGCCCTGTGGTCGTTTGAGGAGGGAAAAGGCCACCTCAGCTAGAATTATGAGAGGTAGCATTTGTAAGCTACGGATGCATACCATATTTACAACTCAAATAAGAGAAAGCAACTTCATACCAGACTCCTGCAAATATATTTAGAAGTGTTAATGGGAGAACAGGAACACCCTAATTAAGTTGATGAATGAACTGCTTCAACCTGTGGTTAAAGTTGCATGATGTCCTGATAAATCAACATTTTCACCAGTCTGTCTTATTTTAGTCTTGAACTCACACCTTTACAACCCAATGCAATCTTTTTACTAGAGCTGTATTGCAAAACCAATCACCTGTGCTCAATCCTGCTCCAGCTTTGCTAACGTGCACACCAGTATTAAATAAACATATTTGCATGGCTGTAATAGATTATATATATTTCTATCAATGTTTAATTGTTTAAAAAAATTATTTCCCCCTATGTTTTTAGCTGTTCTTATTTTTATCTGTAAGCCACCATTAAGTCCCTGTCAGGGGAAAAGGTGGGGTATAACAATAGCAATTCACGGTATCACCCATACACAGTAAGAGACACCTTATTGCAACATTTATGTACTCTGCATGAAATAGGGCACTATTGCCCATCATTATCAGCCCTAAGGTGCAATTCTTATGAAAAAGCACAGTATCAGCAATTTAACAAGTGCACATTTATTGCTCCAACATTTAATAGCTCAGTTTGCCAGCCACTGCATTCAGTTTTCAGTTTGCTAAAGTTACTTGCATTCAACTGAAATGGGATGGGAAGCAACATGAAAACCATGCATTGCTGGTACTTGCATCAGTCTTCATCTTCATAAACTGTGACAAATTTGGTAGTATTGCACCATCTAGCTTACCTACAAGTTCTCCCATTGTAGAAAAACACACAATTTTTAAAAATAGAAGTTTTTTTATATATAAAAGAACAACAAGAACAACTTACTTCTTGCGGCGGCGACCATACAGCTCACGTCGCAATTCTCGAGAAATGGGTTTCAAATGCATAAAGTTACAGAAACCTCCTCGTGTACACTCCCTTGAGGGGGGAAAAACAACAACGCAAGGTTTTGATGATGATTAAGCAAATGCTATTGGCTTAGATTCTAACACAGTTTCTGCTGGCAAGACCGTTCTATGAGTGGTTTTCCACTAACAGGATGCTTCTGCCAGAAGAGGGCAGCATTTCTTGCTGATCTCCTAATCCTCATGTATCCCCTTTAAAATCTGCTATGTTGAGCTGGGGAACCTTGACAGCAACCGAGAGGCATTTAAAAAAAATGCTCTTCCTGTCCTGTATTACAGCAGGAGCCTCTACTTCCTCAAACTCAGCTCTCCAGATGTTTTGAGACTACAATTCCCATCATCCCTGACCACTGTTCCTGCTAGCTAGGGATCATAGGAGTTGTTGTAGGCCAAAAACTGCTGGAGGGCAGAGTTTGAGGAAGCCTGTTCTACTGGATCCCAGGTCCCTCTGTGAATGGAGGGAATATGTCCATTCACAGAGGGCAAATCAGGATTCAAAACCATGGAGCAGTGTCCTGTCACTCATGATTTTTTAACACAAAAAATCATTTCAAAAATGAAGACAGCAGAAAACAGTTTACTTACCCCATTTCATACTGGCGGCAGCAAGCTTCTCTGAAATCTGTCACAGGAGAGAGCTCTGCATGTATCGGCTGCCCATTAAACCAGCGGTTGTTCAGGTCAATCACTGCCTTTTCTGCATCTTCTTCACGTCGAAACTGGAAAAAAAGGTTAAGTTTACAAAAATGAAGTCTCCACTTTTACATATTACTAGGAACTGACATGATTCTCAGTTCCAACATGAAAATTAGGAAAGCACAAAAGCTTCATTTACGTAGTGTTAGCGAAATAGTAAGGAAGCATGTTTCGGGGGACGGGGACACAAGCAGCACGTCAATAGCATATCAACGCATAAGGGCAGAATTCTTTCAGAACATGATATACTTTTATTAGAATCAAGATTACTGTACAGTGGTACCTCGGGTTACATACGCTTCAGGTTACAAACTCCGCTAACCCATAAATATTACCTCGGGTTAAGAACTTTGCTTCAGGATGAGAACAGAAATCGTGCTCTGGCTGCGTGAGGCCCTATTAGCTAAAGTGGTGCTTCAGGTTAAGAACAGTTTCAGGTTAAGTGCGGACCTCCAGAACGAATTAAGTACTTAACCCGAGGTACCACTGTATATCCTTAATGTGTCCCCGAAAGGTATCATTATTCTTCATATACCATTCAATTTTTGTCATGTTTACATTTTTATTGATAATCCTTTTTTAAAAAATCCTTTGTTAAATTTCTAACAAGGGGGGGGGGAGAGAACCAATATATGTTCATATGAAGTAAACTGAATGTAGTCTGTCCATTATAGAAATGTACCAGTTGCTTGTAGTAAAGTTTGATACTGTATACAATGTTGACCTTAGTTGACTGACAATAACAATACAATTAAACAGTTTCATTGTACTGTATTCTGACAACAATAACCAAAGTATCTTCGACCCAAATGTATTGGTCAGGGAAGGGAATATGACAGGTTTGAGTAGCAGCATATTTATAAATAGAGGGGCACACATCTGTGTCTAGTTTTGCCTGTCCAAGGAAAGAATGAAATGGGAAATGTTTTCACCAATGTCAATTGAAAAGATTTTAATAAGCCCTGCTTATTCAAGTGGATGTGGCAGCTATCGTTCCAAGATATACTCCAGCAACACTTAGGTCATTTTTAGCAGCATTAGTTCACTATCCAACTGCACTTCAGTGGCTATTTTTATTTTGCTTTTTCTAGTTTTTTTCTTAGATGTTCCTTAGATTTGCCTAATAGTTTCCTATGTCATAATAATAATTTTAGTTAACTACATTCTCCTTTTGGGAAAATCCTCGACAGAATTACACAATTTAACAACCACTTTAAGTAGCTATAAAGGTAAAGGTACCCCTGCCCGTACAGGCCAGTTGTGACCGACTCTGGGGTTGCGTGCTCATCTCGCTTAAGAGGCCGGGAGCCAGCGCTGTCCGAAGACACTTCTGGGTCACGTGGCCAGCGTGACAAAGCTGCTCTGGCGAGCCAGCACCAGCGCAGCGCACGGAAACGCCGTTTACCTTCCCACTATAAAGCGGTACCTATTTATCTACTTGCACTTAGGGGTGTTTTCGAACTGCTAGGTGGGCAGGAGCTGGGACCGAACGACGGGAGCTCACCCCGCCGCGGGGATTCGAACCGCCGACCATACGATCGGCAAGTCCTAGGCACTGAGGTTTTACCCACAGGGCCACCCGCGTCCCCGGGTGGCTATAGTAGTTAAGTAGCTATAGTGCTGACCAATGCCTGGTGTTAAGTGTATACTTTTGAGAATAAAAAAAGGAAAATGCCCCAGGCTGGACCTGAATCAGGAATAGTTAAGATACAAGAACCAATTACTTTGTAATGTTAAAATGCAGCAAAGGGGAGAGTACATGTACAAAAGTTCCATATATGAATCCCAATCTGAAAAGTCGTTCTAAACATTTGTTGCTCTGTGTTGTAGCACAATTAAGAGGATTAAGTGTCTACAGACATGGTGAGTGTGATATTGGGGAGAAATAGAAACGAAGGAGACAGTCAGATAAGGGAGATAGCATTTTAGTTCATTCACCACATTTCTTTATTTACATTTCTTGCTGGGCTTAATAGGTTTCATTTGAAAGTATTAATTAATATTTATGCAATACACATAGCCTAACTATTCAAGACTGCTAGTTACTTTTCAAATATACAAAGCAAGACATTTAAAGATTTTGATCAGCAGTTGTGGACTTTTTATATCTTACCTTTACATATACATTTCCAACCAGATGATCTCCAAGATTATCACAGACATTCATCTCTTCTACTTCACCATATTTTTCTTCCATCTCTGTAAAGACCTCCTAAATGAAGAAAAAATGAGTGTTAATTTGATCTAAACTAGATGGATTAGCAAGCCTATACATCACCAACTTGTCATTTAATCTGTTTTTCTTGGCTACATAGGGTTTGGCAATGGTTCTATCCCTATTCCCCCCACAGGGCCATCTACCACTAGATGTCTTGTTGGGAAGGATTTCAGAAGAAAGCAGGAAGGTGCAGACCGGAGAGCCTGTTTGACCTAACTGCTCTCTTTCCCATGTACCACCAACTGCCCTGTAGGGGAAATCGTGACAATTTTATATGCTGATATGTTTATATATTGATATTGTTTATGATGGCTTCAAAGACTGCATCTTGATGTTACTTGTAAGCCACTTTGGAAGCCTTTGTATCCAGAAAGGCAGGACATAAATAGCTTTTAACAAATAAGAATTCAAAATTAAACTACACATCTGAAACTAAAATAACTCAAGACTGAATAATAAAATGGGCAATATCCTGTGTCGTTAACACTCAGAGCAGATTCAATGAATTAAAATTAAGTAATTTAAGCCCATTTCTTTCAATGGGCCTACCCTGACTTTGTTCGGGGGTGAGGAACTCTGCTGCTGCCACTGCAGTCTCCCAAGGTAAGGTGCATGTTCACCTTTGGCCAGTCTCTGTTGGGCCACTAAGGCTGGGGGCATCCTCTGCCCAGGCCCCTGTGGGGCAATGTGAGGAGGCAACTCTCTTTGGGGTGGGGTGGGTGGGGCAGCTCAGAGAACAGGGGCAGGAGCTGAAGCCGCCTGGACGACTCCCAAAGAAAAGAGAGAGGAGACTGAGGAAACACTCCAGAAGGGAGGGTGTTCGAAAAAGGGTGAGAGGCTGCTGGCTCTGCAGGCAAGGGGTGACATAACTGGTCTCCTGAGCCCCACAGGGGTGCCACAGAAAGAATGTAGTTGGTTAAGGAAGCCATGGACTCAAAAAGGTTGAAAACATCTGGTTTAAGTACTTTCCCAATTCTTCCTTTGCAACCACAGCTTGAACTTTTTGGTGCCTGATGTGAAACAATCTTGGTGTGTGGTTTGTCCAAAGTGGTCTGGTGGGGCCTACAGGCTTGAAAAATGCCCTCAGGGACACTAGCTGGATATCACTCGTTACGTTTTTCCATAATCTATTGTTTGTTACAGGGAATTATTACTTAAGCCAGATACACTTAGATGAATCAAAGGAACAAAGAATTTCAAATACTCCCCTCTTGCTGAAGAAGAGTATCTGGCATAATTTTGTTCGTCTTTTGTTCTAAGATAAACTTCAAAGCTTATAATGTTAACTGTGCTTGATGTTCTCATTTATATAAAATTTTCAAAGCATTACTTAGTGTAACATACCTCAAAGAATTCATCATAATGTTCCTGCATTTCAACATCGCTCACAGCACCTGCAAATACCAAGCCAAATTAATTAGAATCTAATCTCAAACAAGGCAAAGGACTCTGAGCACATTAAAAATATTTTATGTAAGTAGAAAAGTAAGTAGAAGCCGTCTACTGGAGTAAAAAATACGTAATATGTAGCTAACCATTAGGAGTAGACCATAAACAGTTCTGCCAAGCCCCTAAAGAAAAAACAATCACAACAATCTCTTAATAGTTTTAATCAATAACCTGATAGATAACACACTTCCATGGAGAATGGTTTAAATCTAAGGAAACTGATCTGATATAGAATGCAACCGCCCCCAGCTCCAACTATCTTAATTTTAGTGCACCAGATTTTCATGAACAGCCTTTGAAGAATGTACTAGGATTCAAATAAGGGGAGCAATAAAATATTGTATAAGGGAATTTAATTTAAAAAATATTCTAAAAGCAAACAGTGGAATCCAACTCTACTGACAGCAGGCATCTCTGAACAGAACAGGGAAGAAGGAAATTTTCAGCAAATCCTTCTTTCTCAAGCAGGCTTCCCTCCCTCCAAATGTGATTGAGGGTTCCCCAATCCTCTGGTGCAGGGTTTTTTTGGGGGTAGGGATTTTAGTGGGTAAAAGGAACTACTAAAAATGTCCCCCACTTCTGTTGCTGAATACCTTACGACAGCAGAGCAGCATCCCTTGGAGTCTGGCCACGTACACCATAATTAGTTTGCTAATTAAAACTGTTCACAATTCATATGCTTTACTGAACGCAATATTAAGTTAACATGTTTCTACATCCTTCAAATTAGCAAAACTAGGCTTACTGACGGGGAAAGGAACCCAATTTTGCTCCAAAAGCTAATTCAGTTTTCACATTTTTCAGAATACTTAAAGTAAGTCATGCTATATTATTTCCATGCCCTTAAGTATGCATTTGCAGGCATCTAGGCCACCTGTTCATAAACAGGGGAGGTTTTAAATAAATATGAATTTCAAACCAGTATGTATGGCAAAAACTGACGGATATAGCATTTTAGCATACATTAAGCACAATTTAAAACTTTATAGCTATCAGACCCTGAGTGGTCTGTAGTTCTAGAAAGCACCTTACCCTCTCATATATAAATCTAAAATACATAAGGATGGGAAAATTCTATGGTATTTTCAAAATTCAGTTTCCCACCACCTTTAATGAATAGAAAAAGTAGCTGAGATCCACTCTCGGATCTATTTCCTATTAAACTATGACCACACTTACAACTCTACATTTTACAACTCTACAGTTTAAAGGGACACTATTGAATTAGGAACTAAATGTTGACTGACAGATGTCGAATCCCATTTAAAATACACTATGAGCTTGATAAAAATGGATTAAACTGTCCCAAACCAAAATATCAAGATAGCTTAATAGCTAACTGTTTTCTCAGTTGTCAGCAGAAATAGAAATAGTCATTAACAAGATTTTTAAAAATCTACTTTGGTTTTTCAACACATATCAATTGTTGCCATATGTGATTTTTTAAAACTTGATAAAACCATTTCCCTGTAAGACATAACACTAAACCAAACCAAATTAAGCGATGGTGTTTTACTAGGTTGAACAAGTACACCACCAGAATTCGACTACTAGACACAACTGATAATACTATATGACATATATGGAGAGCAGAATAGTTAAACAATGTAAATATTTGCTAGGTAACTATAACAAACCATGCAATTCCTAAAACAGCAAAAGGCTGTTGATTTCTCAAGCAGCATTACTCAACTGAGACCAAATTTTAAACATTACATTTGAACTATCATTTTAAAGAGACTTGCTGCTATGTTTGTTCAGCCAGTCAATTCCGGACAAATAAAAAGAGTTCCACAGCAAACCATGCAGCTACAGCATGAATTACTTATACCAGATTGGTGGAAATTTTAGCACATGCCCAGATACGAACGTAACACTGAATATCATTTAGCAGTGCTAGTAGAAATAGTGTTGTAAATACCAGACTGTGCTTAACGATAAGTCATTTAATTATTGCATTGTTTAACTGCTTCAAGAGCAAATCACAGATTAGCTCAATTATTTACCCATTTAAATCACTTACTTCTACTGATGTACAGTAGACAAATATTTTCACAGTTTATAACTACACAAGTGTTAAGAATTAGTTCAAGACAATCTCCACACTTTCCCATAAATGAATATCAGTTCATAATTTCAGATTTTAAAGCAAGGAAGGAATTTTAACCGTACCTATGCAGAGAGATCAAATTAAAGTGATTTTAACATCTGTAAACAGATGGATAAGTGCTTAAGTTAATAAGCTGTTGACCTAGCCTTTGGATAACAGTAATATGTGACATTAAATATAATCAAGGACACATTAAAATGATGGAGGCCAATGGCAAGGATGGAGTAGAGAGAGCCATTGCTCAAGAAAACTTTAAAATGTGTCCCTTAAAAAAATTCATAAAATAGGCAGGTAGCCAAAGTTTCAGAGGAAACAAGTTTTTTTGGGGGGTGGGGTGGGCATGGGATATGTGAAGGACCAAAAATTTCAGGCACATTTAATAAAATGTGATCAGTTTGCTCCATTAAACTAAAAATGGTAGACCAGCTTCAGTTGACACTGAGCTCTGACAATCAAGCCCAGGGAACCAGTGAAGGAACTTGTATGAACTTACAGCGCAAACCGTCAGCAGACTGGGAAGAGTTTTGAGGGTTACGGTAAATGTTCAAGAGGGCAATGGTCTGAAATACAAAACGCAACAACTTTATATTATGGAAAATAAGTTTTAACAAGAAACTGGTTTCCTTGTGGTGATCACTTTTAGTTGAGTCTCAGTGCTGAAAGAGAGAATGTTATTTTCTCCCGAGGGAAATATGCGCCATTTGACTTGTGACCCTTCTGAACCACCCTAGTATTGAGGGAAAAAAAATAGAGATCTCACAACACTTATTATTGCATTTATTTAAAATGCATATAATGGCATTTTATTATCATAAATCTTGAACCTGAAGCAATAAATAGCCTTAACATATGGAAAGGTTGAAAATTGTCAGGAACTAGATCCCACTGTAACACACAATAATAAGGCTGTTATGAAATCTCTATTGCCTAAGAATGTTAAGGTGAACCAAAAATCCCCAAGTATCACTTACCGTATATGGCAAAAAAGCCTATGTTTTCAGATTTTAAAATATCAAGTCATTTGATAAATGCCTAAGGTGTACTATAAATAATGAACATGTCTTAATGCTCATGTCCTTATATGGGAAGTTTTGAAGCAAAAAAACCAATCATTTTTAACCTTTTTTTTTTGCACATAACATAGGCATTTGACAAATGCTTGATCATTATGTAAGAGTTCCGTCACTTGTCCTGTTTGCAACAGCTTTATGTCAGCAGCTCAGAAGCCAACATGATTTTCTCATATTTAGGAATGGGCTCTTTAACACCATTCTTAAAAAAAATTTCTCCAACTGTGGGACTTACAGTGTGAGCCGTCAGCCGTCTGTGCACTGTTTTGGGGATTACGATAGATGTTTTGAATCAAGATGGTCTGCGGGGAAAAAAAAATAAAAAGGGGAATTCTACTGGCTGCTGTGCATATAATAGACAATTGCAAAGAGACAACTTTTTTTGCGAACAGCTTAATATAAAATTATATTCAAATGGTACACTATTTTTGTTTTTATTTGCACCATGTTTTGAAATATCACTCAGTCATATTATGTAAACAAGTTTTAATTTCACCAAGAAGTTGCGCTATTGGCTTATCAAGGGAGCCATCCTCAGCTCAGCTCCCAGAAGGAGAATTAGAAATATACTATTTTAGTAACTTATTAGCATGGGCCTAAATTTAGTCTAATTTTAATCCTATCAAATACGGAGGGCCATAAAAAATGCTACATGGTGCCCCAATATGCAGTGCCTTTCTAACAAGAGGCCACCGCCACAAGGAACAGAATTCATCACTTTCTCTAAACAAGCATTTCCTTGGTGGAACTTCTGTTTAAATAATATGAGTTTCTAACTGTTCAGTTTGCAGATCTTTAAAGAAAGAATATCCTTTCAGCCTTTGTGCTTTCTACTTGAAGGATTTGCCCAGGCAGACTTGAAACCTTACATTTGTATCGTTCTTCTTAAAATCAAGTTGTCTGAAAAAACAAACCATGTTTAAGTTAGTAATCTAATATCTCAGAGTTTTAATGTCCATATTAGTGTAAGTAGCTCAGTGTTACTTAATTAAAATGTTAGTTTTCATGAGCTTTCATTCAAATTTAATATAACCAACTGTATTTAAAGAAAACATTGTTTTCAGAGCATTTTTGTTTTTATAAAACCAGCCAGTGTTAACCTCTCTGGTCCCTAGCCACGGTAGAGACAAAATACATCTACATTTGTTGACTGTTTTTAGCCTATTTCGAATTGAGAGTACTTGCAATTTTCTCTCACCTGCAACGCTATTTTAGTGCAAGCTGGGCAGGAACCAGCATGGTTGTCTTTTAAACCACATTGAATTACTAAACAATTTCAGTAGTAGCAGTAGGAACACAATATATATTCACTGTTTGTTCAGTACCTAACACATCATGACATTAATTTATTAAGCCAAATTATTTGGTTTAAGTAAGCAGGAAAGAAGACTCTTAAATTTAAGTCACAGATCAGATTAGCTGACCTAACTGCAAAATAGTATATGAATGCACATATATAAATGGGGTGTGCATAATGGAGGGACAAAGATCAAAATTCTATTGAAAAAGCAAGATACAGAAATTGTCCCTCCAAATCTAGAAGATGCAAGTTAAAATCTTCCAAACAAATGCTGGATTCCCAATAACGATATCTTAACTGTTCTATCAGTCATTACGACAGATGTAAATACCCCTGACTGAAAGTGAAATTCAACACTGTGCAAGTGCACAACAGGGTCCCTGCTTCCTCTTCTTCCCCATAACCCCAGCTTCACTCCAGGTCCCCTCACCAACACTCTGGAGCAGATTATGGGGGCACAACGAGGGCTGCACACAAGGCAGGATGCTAAAATCATGTTGTTAAGTTGATTCCACTCACAGAAGCTATTGGAATTCACCCTAAACTACAATCTACAAAAGCTTTCCACATTTAATCATCTGCTTTGGCATTCTTATTACAAAGTCCAAATAAATGCAGATACCACAGCTCAGTTCAACTCCTGATTTACTACAATTAAATATTCAGGAGAGGACAAGCAAATTCTTGGCATCAGTGGAGCATCAAACTATGATGTTGTATTGGTGGATCACAGCAATATTATGGCATATATACTAGGTGGATCAAAGTATAAGACAAGCTATTGTTCCAGACTATTCCAGTCTGCTCTTCTTCATGTTCTCTCATAAAAGTCTTGCTACGTTCAACAGCGTTTATTCCCAAGTAAGTTTGCATAGGAGTTTAGGTTTAAGAGTTGCCCAAGCAATCAGTCTGTGAACACATTCTCCCTTACTGCCTCTTTCTACTTTACTTCATGCTTAAATATTGAAGTTGGTGAAGTTATTTGTTTTGTATTTTGACTATGTCAATCTTAACTATTTGAAAGTAGATGAGCAGGCTAAGATACAAGGGAGCTTGGATATTTTTAAAAATAAAATTAGAGTTCAAAAATAAATTAAACAAAATTGTAGCAACCAAACTGAATGTGGTCATCCCAACCAGCTTTAATCTGTACAGGCTAACCCAGTGGTTACAAAGACCACATGAAAATGGCTTAGGGTCTTGGTGGACCACTTAACGTTTTCTCTGCCCACTGTAGCAATTATAACGCACTGTGCTAGATGCTGTATGATTTTTCATTGTATTTTTATGGGCAGACCATGGACCACCTGAATGAAGCTTGTGGATCACTGATGGTTTGTGAACAACAGTTTGGGAACCCTTATGCTAGCCTATATTCTCAAACTACTTTAAAGGTTTTAAAACTGATTATGTTGCTCTTATACTGTTACACAGCCCCCACTCATTTTATAGGGACCGCTCTGAATTCCACACATGCCATACTTGGAAATATAAAGTAGTAGAGAAGACACCTGCAAATGCCATTATCTCTTAGAATGTAAGGATATGTGCATTTTTGCTATTTCGCAGAATCGCTTTGTCAGGGCATTTTGGTTAAATTTGAAAACATGCACACTTACACCAGGGGCAATCAACATGGTGTCCTCCAAGTTGTTAGACTTCAACTCCCATTACTTCTGCCAAGGAAGTAGTGGCTAGTGCTCAGGGACTATGGCAGTTGCACTACAACACATGGAGTACACCATTTTGGCTATCCCTGGTTTACAAGAGAGAATTTGGCCCATTTTTTAAATAAAAAACCAGCTCTATAGTTGCTAAATATTACCCAGGAGGTTATCACTGGCTGACATCTAATATTGGAAAAATTATGGGGGGAAATTCTGCAACCATTAAAGTTTTTAAAAAATATTTCAAAGGGCTAGTAAAAGAAATGAATAGCAACTCAAGGACAAATCAACAAATATATACATGATACTTTTATAGTTTCTCAGATTTAACAATCACAGATTGGAGCTCTGAAAGTCATGGCTGTATTGGATGTAAGACTTCTACCAAAAAAATTTACACCAACCTGGCTAAATGTTGGTTTATTGTGCAACCGAGAACACCGGTCTCCATGACGGCATGCTCCGATTTTGAAGTAAAAAGAACAGTTGACTCTGAAACCAAAAGACACAAAAATTGTATCAACTGAAACAATTTCTATACAAACTAGTTATGGAGTTATAGCTAAGCTTATTAATCAAAAGAATACACTCTGGCCAGGCAAAAGCACTTGAATTGTGAAGCAGGGCCAGCCAAGGCATGGCCAGTGGAGTCCTGAGGTCTAGGAAGAGGTGTTCTCCGTTCCTGTGCTAGTTCATATCTATTTTAGCAATGATTCAACTACAATTGATATTGGCTGTTTTAAAGTACAGTATCGCCTTCTCTCAAACTGAGAATGGAGAAAACTAAGGGGGTCTGATGGCAGATGTGCATCCTTGTCAATTACTAGAGTTCACCATTGTCTTCACTCAGTAGCTCTCCAGGGTTTCTGAAAGGAGTCTTTTCCCAGCCAAATCTGGACATGCTAGGCTAGGGATTGAATCTGGGACCATCTATAAAACAAGCAGATGCTCTGCCTCAACCTATGGCACTTTCTCCTCTCTCCATTTGTCCACTACTAGGGCATGTTGGATAGTAGATGGGGTGGGAACATTCATATCATAGGTGTGAAATGCAGATATCAGCTGCTTTATTTTCACACCATAGAAAAGTTGAAAAAAGCAGTTTTGGCAGGCATGTGACAACACTTGTAAACAAATGAGTCTTCTGCACCGTTGTCTGCAAGTTGGAGACATTCAGTTGCTCAGTGCTGCACTAACTTGGGTAGCATAGTAGTAAGCTGCCCCCAGAAATGGCTTTCAATGAGAGTAAAATAGAACATGCTGCATGGTCTGGTTTTTACTGTTTCTGCCCAGTTAGGAAATTCAAGTTTACTGCTTCCTCCCAGTATCAGTGCATGGACATGAAGTTTAGTAGTGAGCAAAGGAGTTTCTTCAGCTTAGATAGATTGAGACCTGCTTCCCTCCTCTCCCTGTGAACAGAAAAGTGGAGTGGAAGGCAGATGTCCCCAGCTCAAAGGGCCACAACCCTCCTCCTCTAAAATATTATGTACAGTTTTCTACCTCATGTACCTTTTAATATATATATATAGAGAGAGAGAGAGAGAGAGAGAGATTGATTGATTGATTTGAGTGTGATCATGAAAGCCAGCTTGAACACTTCTATTGAGGCTGTAGTTGCACTAACAGAACAAACTCTGCGCCCCTTCAAAACTCCTTAGGCGTGATGAGAAAGCGTTACGTCCAGGAGACACACAAGGGGATTTCCCCCACGAGATCTTCAGCGGCGACCCTGCTGCCAGGCCGACCATTTTAGCAGCGCCGGCCCTTCCCCCTTCCCCTCATGAGGAAAACCAAGAGGAGAGCAGAGGAGGGAAAAAACGGATCTGGGGATTCCTCGCAGTCGTGAGCCCGCCATCAGCTCTTTTCCGGAAGGGCGCGCGCGCCCCCTGGGCTGTTGGCGGGCAGGCAGGCAGGCAGGCGCGCGAGCGAGCGCGCTCCCTCCCTCGGCTCGTGAGGGAAGGAAGTAGCGCGCCCGCTAAGGTCCAATAGGGAGCGCCTCTCCGGCTTGCACGAGGCAGACACTTAGCAGCAGCAGCAGCAACGGAACAAGGGCTGAAGGAGGTTTCGCGCGCTCGAGGCTTCTACGGCCAAGAACCGCGCACGCGCACGAGAGAGCGAGGAAAAAAAGGGCTCCTCGTGGGGAACCATTGTTAGGAATGGCCCCCGCCAGGGCACTGACACAGGCCCCACCACCCACCCCGCAAGCGACGGGCGTTCACGTCGGCCCGGACCCCGCCCTTGGAGAGAGAGGGGAGGAAGAACCCACTCACTTGTCTTTCTCGGTACCGAAGATGGAGGCCAGATACTCCGCCATCTCCCACAAGCTGCCCTGCCCGGCCGCCCGCCGGACACCTCGGCACCCCGCTTAAGACGTCACAACCCCGCGCCGGAAACGGCCTCGCCGCCCGCCACCCGCCACCCGCTGCAACGATCAAGCGCCGGCGACCAATCAGCGCGAAAGGCAGGGGCTGCGGGGAAAGGATTCGCGCACGCGCCTGGTGCAGCTGTCTCCGCCATGCGCCAGCGCGGGGTGACTTGGCTTCTCCCCCCCCCCCCCTGGTTCTTCTTCCATCGCCATTCGGGATACGCCCACCCCGGAGATTTCTCCATAGGGGCAGTTGCTCCTAGCTGGCGTGTCTCGGTTTGTCACTCACTCCTCCATACTTGGTTCCATTATTAAATAAAAGTTTATTTGGGAAGGAATCAGATCAGACTCCGGTCCTTGCTGCTGCAACTGTACCCCGTTCCAAGAAAATGTCTGTATTTGCCTTTAAAACCGGGCAGGGAAAAGCCCTGTTATGTGTTGTGTGAAGGTGCCGATAGAAATACTTTAAAATTTCGTTAGCCTGAACTGCATTTGAGATCCGCAGTGCGGGGGGGGACGGACGGACTGTTTTTGGTGGACACAGGCTGGTGAATAAGCTAATAGCATGCGGTTCTGCATGAGGGAGGGGGTGATCTACCAGAAACGGAGGGTAATCTGCCCTTAGATGTCATCTTTCCAGCAGCTCTGTAAGGTAAATCATTTTAGCTATCCTTACATGATATGTGGGAAGATGGTCCCGGAGAATTAAAAAAAAGTTGCCTTTTTAATGTAAGATTTTTGGCTCATATCTGGTTTCACTCCTACTGATCTCTCTACAAATGGTAGGTGATGGCAGCAGGATGGATTTTATACAGACAGTGAACAAAAAATGAAATCTATCTTTACTTTTAACCATTGTGCCAGAGAGTGGGGTTCGGTAAAACAATTGAAAGCCGATTTGCACGACACTTATCCTGCCAATCTGCCAAGAGGGTTCAGTAAGCTAATACCAAAAGCTGCTTCTGTTTGACAAAGGGTCCCTGTAACCTTCTGTTGACCCCCCTCCCCCAAGAATGACTTCCAAGGACATTCTTGACTGTCATCCTTTGCCACATGCCAGAAGCATGTCCTCCGTCTGCTAATGATAGTCTTAAGCAGGTGAGAGCAGACACTTCTCTTTCCTAGTACAGACCCTGCATCTTCCCAAATTCATTATCCTGGGTGAGGAGGGACCACTCTTGTTATTGTGAGATCACAAATCTCACCTAACCGGGGCAAGTCTGATTAACACTTTGGGGGCTTGATCATCCATGGAAACATCAGTTGGGCAGGATAAAATGTACGGGCAGCCTCTTTTATCAGCTCAAAACTTTTTTCAGCAGTTTTGCAACCAGGTTTTTTAAACAAAACCCACACCAACAAGGTGGCTTTGTGACTGATACAGGACCATGCTGGCTGCTGCTGGATTTCCTCCAGAAATTGCAAATCTGGATTAAATGGGGTGGGGAATTTTGATGGGAATTTTAAATGGTCTGGCATTTTGATGATGCGAGGACACTGCCAAAAAACTTGAATGCATGAGAAACATCTATCTGACAATAAACACCCACAGTCTGGGAGGGTGGAAGAACAGAATCTTGGGTGCACATCTACAGGGAGGAAAATGGGAGCAGGAGAGTTAATCAGCCCACCCACATACCTTGCATTCACATTATCTGGGAACATGCTTTTTGTCAAGCTACAGTGTTCTTTCCTCATTGGCATAAGTATGACTCTCATGCTGAATGTATTGTGAAAAACTATTGTAGTATGACAGGGGACGCGCGATCACAATAAATTGCCCATTGAGAAGGGAGGAACCCACAAAACTCCTGAACCAAGAAGTAATTCATTAAATTACACCATAAAATCATGTGCATGCTGATCAGAAGTAACCCATTGTACAGTGGTACCTCGGGTTAAGAACTTAATTCGTTCTGGAGGTCCGTTCTTAACCTGAAACTGTTCTTAACCTGAGGTACCACTTTAGCTAATGGGGCTGCCGCCACACGATTTCTGTTCTCATCCTGAAGCAAAGTTCTTAACTCGAGGTACTATTTCTGGGTTAGCGGAGTCTAACCTGAAGCGTATGTAACCTGAAGCATCTGTAACCCGAGATACCACTGTATCAGTTGGGCTTCCTCCTGTGTAAGTGTATGTGGAATTTTAGTCTTAAGCAAGAATTTAAGTTGAGGGGTGGGTGGAGATAAAAAGGTGCACCATAACTGCTGAGAAGTAAAATTTAACTCAGTGGTACATTTATATGACTGTTACTCCCTCCAGTGGTAAAAAGAAGCAACTTCTCCCAGAGAAGTATGTGCAGGCAGGAAATGGTTTCTGAAGCAGAGTTTTAGATGGGCTGTACAGTGGTATCTCAGGTTACATACGCTTCAGGTTACAGACTCTGCTAACCCAGAAATAGTGCTTCAGGTTAAGAACTTTGCTTCAGGATAAGAACAGAAATTGTGCTCCGGCGGCGCAGCAGCAGCAGGAGGCCCCATTAGCTAAAGTGGTGCTTCAGGTTAAGAACAGTTTCAGGTTAAGAACAGACCTCCGGAACGAATTAAGTACTTAACCCGAGGTACCACTGTAATGAATGCAGCAGCCTTTATCAACCTGGCACTAGGCGGGAACAAAAGCACTCTCTCCACTTGTGATTCCCACCCAGTGGCATTCAGAGGCATACTGTGCCTGGGCTCATCCAGACTTCCTTTTGTGCCACATTTCTCACACATGTCTGTACTTTAAAGCTCTCATGTCCAAGTGCCTTTTTTATTTTTTGCCCCTGTGCTTACTCCACAAAAACCTGCTCTTTACCACTGAAAGCAATTCTGCAAAAAACAAAAGAAAAGAAAAGAAAACTAACCCCAGATTGCCAGTTTTTCTGATTTAGCGTGAAAGAGCGGGTTTTCCTGGGGAAATAAGTGCTCAGACATGGACTGGGAAAGCGTGGTTCTGTGCCTAGAACACATAGGGCAAAAGCTAAGTGTGGATGAGCCCTCAGACTGTGGAGGTGGAAGACATATCCTGAGCACCAAACCTTGCTGCCTGTCCATGGTATGCCATGCTTTGAGCTGCTTCCTCCACTACTGCACCCCAGTTTCCTGCTTTTTTAAGATCTAAAAGGAAAAAGAAAGCATCACAAAGCACAGGTGGTTTCTTTATACAAACCACAGTTACCCTGTGGAATTCACTGTCTTAAAATGCAGTACAGTGGATACTCGGGTTGCGAATGTGATCCGTGTGGGAGGCATGTTCGCAACCTGCAGCGCTGCGTCTGCGCACGCATGGGACGGGTCTCGATTTAGCACTTCTGCACATGCACGAGCACCGAAACCTGGAAGTAACCCGTTCCAGTACTTCCGGGTTCAGCGCAGTGCGCAACCCGAAATCACGCAACCTGAAGCGTCTGTAAGCCGAGGTATGACTGTAATGACAACTGCATTGGATGGCCTTTTAAAAAAAAGTTTAGACAAATGCATGATGATACATCTGTCAACAGCTAATAGTTATTGCATCTCAGTGGAACCTCAGCATACCACTGAGCACCAGGTGCTAGGATGAGGAAGGCCATCAGCTCCACTCTGGCTTGTGAATTTCCACAGGCACCTGGTTGGTGGGATGCTGTTGGCTGCAGAATGCTGGACTTCATGGAGCAGGTCCACTTAAAGTTTCCTCAGCCCCACATAGCCAGAAAACAGTTTTGCTCTTTACACATTAATTTCCATTCAAGAAGCTATGCAATTTCCCTCCCAAATTTCCCAGTCATTTGTTTCCCTCCCACTTTCCCATCGAAGAAAGGAATTTGGGGTAGTAAAAATTAATTTTGGTGAAGGTGGGAATCTGGATCGAGAAGGGCCATAGCTTAGAAGAACCCAACCCCTGGCCTATTTTTAGTGTTCTTCAGAGTAACTAGTCTGAGGAGAAGAACTGGAGACAGCCATCTTCAGGTTGGTTCCTCAAGTTCATAGAATGACAGTACTAACTTCCTTTCAGAATAGAGTTACCAGATCCATTCCCTGTTATAGACTCAGAGATGCCGCCCACAATAGGTAGGTAAAATTACGGGGCATGTCGGGAACTCTCGTAGCGGCATCCTAGTCATATTGTACTGGACAGAAGGTGAAGAGGAACCTGTGGGGCAAGGATGTGAATGGTGTGAAAAGGGACATTCTCAAATAAGAGACCATCTCTTATAATAAAATGAATATCCATTGACCTTACAGAGTTGACTATCCTCATTCTCTTCACTTACATGGAATTGGAATTTATCACTGGATGGGGCTAGGGTGAAGAAAGCTCTTAGAGACAATAATTTTATTCTCGGTTCTCAGGGTCTTCTTTCCTTTGGTAGTTCAGTACAGATCAGGCCACCCAATCCAGCCCTAATCCTGGGAATATATACCCCCTGCTGTGTAGTACAATGTGGATCACCCTCCACATGTGACTAGGCATGGTGAGGGAACATGAGTGAGTGAGGGCTATTGTGTCCGTGTCCCGTTTGTAGGCTTTTCATAGGTTGACCACTATGGGACAAGATGGGCTGGTCTGATCCAGCAGGGCACTTTTCTGGATTATAATGTGTGCGAATGAGCATCCAGATATAGGTAGGATCAGATTCTGATCCAGCAAGGAGATCCATGCATGGAAGCCTCTTTTCCGCATATGGATTTCCCTCGTTAGATTGGAGTGCACGATTTGTAGATGACAAAACATGGCCTCTTGGACCAGTGTCCAGTGGAGAAAACTTGCCTGTTATCATATAAGAACAGCATACTATTTCTTAACACCAGGGCATTAACACATCTTCTCATGCGGTGATCATTCCAAGCAATACTTTTTCTCTTTCACACACACATTTTCTCTTTCAAAGCTACTGCAAAAACAACAAATGCTTTGAAGCGTGATACATTGCACTTGAATTGGCCCGCTAACAATGACAAGAGGCCTGCTTGTTTTCTTCTCCTAGCACATTGCTTTCCTAAGCAGCTGTCCTCACTGGAATGCCAATGCTGGGAATTTTACTAGACTTTGTTTTCAGACCAGATGTGGGATAAGGTAAGCGGTAGAAACCCATATTCAGGGCGCAGTGCTGCGCTGGATGAGGGCCAAAAGCTGAATCCTGACAAGGCAGAAGCCCTGTGGATGCGGAAGAGTGGTTCCCTGATCTGAGAATTGGGTGGATGGCGTTGCGCTTTCACATAAGGAATAGGTGTGGTGGAGTCTGGGTGCTGCTCCTCAATCCATCTTTGGCCCTTGTGGCACAAACGGCTGCTCTGGCTAGGAGCACTTTCTACCAGCTTCAGCTATTACCCAGCTGTGATCATTCCTGGATAAGGGTAGCTGGCCAAGGTGAGCCATGCATTGGTAAGCTCAAGGATGGATTACTGTAATTACTGTAATGCATTACAGTAATACTGTAATCCCTTTACAATGTCACCACAAGGAAGCTTCTGTCACACTTCACTACATGTTGGTGAGCATGTTAGTAGGAGCTATGTTATCCATCAAGGTGTTGAACTGTACCCTTTAACACAGGAATAGTCGACATGGTGGTACCCTCCAGACATTGTTGGACTACAACTCCCATGAGCCCCAGCCAGTATGAGCAAGGATCAAGGATAATTGGATATATATGGCACCACACTGGCCACTCTTGCTTCAACAAGTGGTTGGATTCAGGAAATGCAAATGAATCACACTTTCTATATTTATACATAATATCAGGAGTGAGGATTTGTGTATGCTGACCTGCATGGAGATGCGTGCTCTGTACTTGAATGGGGAGCACTTCTATCAACCCATGGAGATGTATGAGCTTCTGTCCTTGACTTGATTAAGTCCCTAAATGGGAAGTGCAGCTCTCCCTGTATTTATGCGTAGCATTCAGGTCTGCAGCCAGTTCACATTTATACAGTGGTACCTCGGGTTACATACACTTCAGGTTACATACGGTTCAGGTTACAGACTCCGCTAACCCAGAAATAGTGCTTCAGGTTAAGAACTTTGCTTCAGGATGAGAACAGAAATCATGCTCTGGCGGCGCGGCGGCAGCAGGAGGCCCCATTAGCTAAAGTGGTGCTTCAAGTTAAGAACAGTTTCAGGTTAAGAACGGGCCTCCAGAACGAATTAAGTACTTAACCTGAGGTACCACTGTATAGTGAAATTGAGCTGTATCAAGTATAGCACATGGACAACTTATATAAGTTCTGTCTAGACAAAAAGAAGGGTCTGGGGCTTACAAATCTTCCCACCATGTGAGACATTGGTTTTGAAGGCTTCACAGAAGAGAAAACCAGCCTTTCCAGGCCATAATCCATGGGAAGATAGGCTGCTAGATGGATATGGAACATGTTGTGATTTCAGCTGAAGACGGCACATTGCTTCTGCTGTGCTGTGTACACACTGAACAAATGGTCTGAACTACAGTTTGTGGAGATAATAGAGGGAAAAGCTTGGCGATGTGAAGTCTGAGATTCTGTATTTAGAAGCAGCCGTGTCAAAGGCCTTGTAACAACATTCACAGCAGATAATAGTTGTAGCTGTTTTCAAGGGAAATTTTTTTTTGCGGGAGGGGGTGGGAGGTGGAAAAAACGTATAGCATTTCAGAACCTTCCATTGCCTTTGTTGTCTTTTTGCCCACCACCCTCTTTCCACTGTTGAAATTTCTGCCTTTTCGGAACCATGCTGGGAAATGGAGGTTCTAGGATTTCATGGTACTATGTTTTGACTTTCTTCAGAGTTTAAGAGACTTACTGGGAGAGCAAATAAAGTCATGGAAAGGAGTTCTGTTGACTACAGCAAATGGACAAGTCCTCGCTGGCATTGCAGGGCATAATCATTTGACATGACATAGGCACAAATATATGGAAATAATAATGACTTTGTGTCACTCATCCCATTACACAGTTCCTCATCTTATTTTTCCTTTCCAAACTATATAATAGCCAGCTCTAATGTTTTACTATTAGTAAGTATCCAAGCCATTGAGCCCAGGAAAGCCATGATTGCTCAATGCTTCAGCGGACCCTTAACAACAAAAGTTACGTCTGATAGAAGATATACTGCATTGCTCACTTTGGCACGATGCAACCAAAGTTGAGCACATTTCAGCGTGGTTTCAATGCTGAAAATGTTATCATGCGCTCAACACAAAATGGCAGGAGTGTGCTTAAATGTGGCCCTTTATATCTTATTCCACGCGCAAAGGGGCAGCCCTCCCCTTAATCTGTAGCACTTCCCATGTGATCTTGCTTTTCCCCATTCCCACTGTCCTGAAGGTCCATGGGCTGAAGTGTTGAGCATCTCATTCACCATATAAATCCATTGATGAAGACATGGAGTGTATTGTGCTGCTGAAACTTGCTGAGCTTGGTTGAATATGTGCCAGGGATTAACACCACGTACATTCACCATTGATTTGACAACAATGATATTATACGCCCCGGGCACTGATGGGATTTGCTCAGTGTTCAGGATATGGGCTCTGAGGTGGAAAAAAGGGATTGCTAGTAACTTTTTAAGCCCCTTTGGCTGGGCCCAGGCAGACTGTTGACATTATATAAATTCTTTAGATAAAATAAATATCTGCCTTTGTATAAAGAGAGCTGATATTTAGCTTTCCCAACATGCAGCTCAAATGGAAAAGCTGCTCCAAATTCAAGCACATGCTGCAATAAAATGAACCCCTAACAATTTTAAATATGGAAGAAGGTAAAATTGTATGGTTCTAAAGGGCAGGAACCAAGACAAGGCATTTCCCTTAAAAACAGGAGGCCCTGGTTGCTGGCTTCCCATACGTATCTGGTTGGCTGCTGTGGGAAGAGGATGCTGAGCTAGACAGGCCTTTGATCTGATCCAGTTTTGGAAAACACTGAGCTGATACCAAGCATTTTCCAAAGTTCAGTCTGGTCGTGGCCTTGCACAGCACTAGGGGTCTCCCCACCCAGTTCCCTGTTTCTTGTGAAGGGTAGAAGATGGAATAACCATGCAAGCTTAACATTCAGCAATTTCTCAGTTGGCACTCTGCAGGCCATTGTGCACATGATAAATTTAAAATTAACATGGCAAATACCCATTGTAGATGGACCAGGAATATGTAAGGGAGAGCCACCACAAAATCCCATTGAGATAGAGAGACATTCTTACAGTGGTACCTCGCAAGACGAATGCCTCGCAAGACGGAAAACTCGCAAGACGAAAGGGTTTTTGGTTTTTTGAGTTGCTTCGCAAGACGATTTTCCCTATGGGCTTGCTTCGCAAGACGGAAACGTCTTGCAAGTTTGTTTCCTTTTTCTTAAAACCGTTAATACAGTTGCGACTTGACTTCGAGGAGCAACTCATAGCATGCGGTGTGGTAGCCTTTTTTGAGGTTTTTGAAGACTTTGGTGATTTTTGAAGCTTTTCCAAAACTTTTCCGAAACCGTGCTTCGCAAGATGAAAAAATCGCAAGACGAAAAAACTCGTGGAACGAATTAATTTCGTCTTGCGAGGCACCACTGTACCTGAAAATGCATATCTCCTCTTCCAGCTAGAGGAAGGAAGAAGGTTTGTGGGTAGCAGGAGGGGGAGGCACAGCTCAAAGATGATGCAAGGATAGAGCAGCTTCACTCATTCAGTTACTTGGATGACTGAATTCCAGAGCAAGCCTTGGATTTCTGCCTATGTGGATTTTTGTCTCACACTAAGGAAGGGATGGGGAACCTGTGGCTCTCCAGATGTTGCTGGGTTGCAACTTCCATCCTCACTTACCAATTCTCATGTTGGTTGCTGCTGATGGGAAATGGAGTTCAACAACATATTGAAGGCCCCAGGTTGTTTCATCTACATTTAAGGGTCAACTACATGACAGCTTTCAGTTTGAAGTTTTAAAGCGAAACAATATATTATTGTTGGTATAATATATTCTTGTACCAACAGTATATGGATAATGAGAAGAAGTTTGCCACAAAGTAAATGAAATATTGTTACAACTGCCAAATCTACATTTCAGCAATGCTTGCAAAGAACCATATAGTACAAACACATTCTTTAACACATTCTTGTGTTAAAGAATGCTCTAAGCAGCAGACAACAGACGGGCTTCCAGATAAGGTACTGTTTCAAGACCTCCCTCAGATGATAACACCTCAAAAGCATTTCAAGGCCCTCTTTGCAGTTTTCGCAACTGGGAGGCCTTCAGGAATGTTTCCCTACCCAGTGAAGTGACTCAGTTCCTAGAGGATAACACCACTCCAAGGGCCCAAAATTTGCGCCTCCCAGCATGAGGTGCTGGGAGCAGAGCAAGCCAGCTATTTCAAATCAACTTTAAATGCACAGCCTGAATTTGCTAGCATATGATTGAACCCAACCTGAAACCAGTAACAGTCTGGAAGCATGCCTCCTATTTTCTGTCATTTAGTGGAGACTCTCTCTCTTTTTTTGGGTGGGGGGGGTGGAGAGGTAAAGTATACAGTGTAAAATATTTGCTTTCTTCCCTCTCAGGCGAACACCAAACCAACATGCGAGTGAAAAAAGGCTAGCGAGTTTTCTTGTTAAAATGTTCCACAGTAATGTCAACCACAATAACAGTCTTTTGGAATGGCTTGTGTAGGTGAGGGTTCTGTACTGCCAGGCCGTGGTGACACCCTCCTATGTCCGCAGAATGCTGCAGGGCAGCCAGCTGCTGTTCAGAGAGATATCTGGCACTGATTCTAACCAGACTGTCACTCTCGGGTCAGCCCCTACAATTTCTGCTGACCAGATTGGCCTTCATCATGAGATCATGTCTTTCCAGAGAAATCCCACTAATGCCTTCATTCTGTGAAAGTCGTATATATAGAGGGAAGTTTTCTACACCTCCACTGTGCAGTCCAGCAAAGACTTCACTGTCACAAAGTGACTGCCCTGTCTCCTCTCCACCGCCAAACTTGCAGCAGCAGAGACCATGGATATTACCATTCAGCACCCCTGGTTCAAACGGGCTCTTGGACCTTTAATTCCAAGCCGTTTGTTTGATCAGTTTTTTGGAGAAGGTCTTTTTGAATATGATCTCCTGCCTTTGCTTTCCTCGACCATCAGCCCATACTACAGGCAATCTCTCTTCCGCACCGTTCTGGAGTCAGGTGTCTCTGAGGTAAGATTTATGTTCCTGAATACATTTGAAGCTCTTTTTTTCTTTTTTAAGCAAGCTCTTTGCAAACCACCAGGTGTGTTTCATGGTTTAATCAGTTTAATCCCATATTGAACGGGATAGATTGATTAGGTGCTAGAAAGAACAATATTTGACAGAAACTGTAGTTCAGGATTTGTGTGATAACAGTTTTAAGAAAAATAAGCAGAATTGGAAAATCGTATTTTAACATCTCTTAACTATCTGAAGGGAGTGTGTCGCATGTTTAGATGATCTCTGTGTCACTTACAAAATAGGTGGGTTTTTTTTTTTAAAAAAACAACACCACATAGGAAGGTGCTTTATTCTGAGTCAGAAATTGATCTGACTAGCTTAGTATTGTAGACATCAGGGATGGGGAACCTGTGATATTGCTCCCATCATTTCTGACCATTGGCCATGGTGGCTAGGGATGATGTGAATTGGAGTCCAGGACTGTCTGGATAGCTAGATTCCCAATCCCTGGTCCAGACTAACTGGCAGTAGCTCTACAAGGTTTCTGCCAGCCCTACTGGAGATGCTGGGGACTTTGTATATTGTTGCATTTCATGGAATCATAGACTTGTGGAGTTGGAGGGGACCCTGAGGATCATCTAGTCCAACCCCCTGCAATGCAGGAATATGCAGCTGTCCCATATAGGGATTGAAGTTGCAACCTTGGCATTATCAGCACCGCACTCTAACTAACTGAGCTCTCCAATTGAACTTGAGACATTGTGCATGCAAAGCAGATTCCATAACACTGAGCTGTGGCCCTTCCCCTAAAAATGAAGCAGATTCTTACTTAATCAAGTACATTTTGTTGCCTTTTTAAAAATGCGGGTTTTGAGTTTTGTTTGATGTGCTGCATAGTGGTCTCTTGGGAAGAGCAGCTCAAAGGTTATTCATAAAGTGTTGCTTTTCAGGCTGTGTTCAGAACATTCCAATAGGACGTGTGACCATATTGGGTGTTTGTTGGATATTCTGCATACATTTATGGTCTGGCTCAGAAATCTAGGAAGAGCTCAGCCGATGAAAAGCAGTGGCAGCTTCTAAAAGTTAGCCATGAAACTCAAGTCTCCTGCAGTGTCTGTGCATGCCCAGGTTTTTAGAGTCATACAGGCAAGTTGCGAAAACTGCCAAAAGCCTCTGATTACCCTTTGAGTGGCTGGGGGCAAGAAATAATCTATCCACAAAATAGATAAATGCTGAAGTGACTCGGCAGAAACTGAATAGTACAGTGGTCATAACTGGAGTGAAGAATGGAAGCCACAAGCTGCATTGCAAACAGCATTTAAGCAATTGTATGTAGCATCCTAAAATCACACCCAAACCTACAAACTTGCCAATCCAGAATACCAGTAGCTAAGTCACTGGTGTCAATTGTGAGTGAACTGACTCAAGTTGTAGACTGAATTCTCACCTGCTTTTCAAAACAAATCCTTTTGAAAACTGAAAAGAATAATAAAAAGACACTTGCTAATTTCATGGGTTTAAGAACATGTCTTAATGATTTTGCCGTCACAAATTATCTCACAGGGAATCTGAGAAATATAATCACAGAGTAAATGATATGACTTAAAAGCTACTTTGTTCTTTAAATAATTGCCTAGTGTTAGTAACAACCGGTTTGAATTCTAATTCTGTTTGGGGGGTGGGGGGTTGTTTCTTGTTATTTCACTTTTAGGTAAGATCTGACCGGGACAAGTTTACAATCTTTTTGGATGTAAAACATTTCTCTCCTGAAGATTTGAGTGTGAAGGTCATTGAAGACTTTGTGGAAATTCATGGCAAACACAGTGAGAGACAGGTAAGCAGAAGGGAGAAAGAAAGTACAAATTACTCAGCTGGAATGAAAAACAAATTTAATTTATTTACCATTAACTACTGAGATTTAGCTCAGAGGTGTATGCATCTGCTTTAGGAAAGGTCAAATGTCAGATTTGATGTTACGTACTGTTATGGTTAGGATTTTTAAAAATCCATTTTCTTTCATCCTATACTCCATAGCACTTAGATGACAGTGGGCATCACTGGGTATTTTTTCCCCCCCAGTACAGAAATAATGTAATGTAATCTGAAACTCCAAGAAAATGTCTGCACTTTAATAGCTCTGAAACAGGATAGATAGCTGGGTTGGTCCATAGAAAACAAAATCCAAGGCCAATCGAAATATAAAAAAATAATGAGCAAGTTTTCAAGTTTTTCATAACCCTTCATCCAGCTGGATGTTAAGTAAAACCTGCAAGTTGGGCATTGGGTGGGAGTGGAGAGATAAGAATGGCTTGACTGGGCTGGAGACTTGAAGACTAAATGAGATTAGCTTGCCTTGGGTGCTAATTGGTTTCAGGTCAGTCCATGACTCTTAAGACAAAGAAAGTGTGTGTGTGTGTGTGTGTGCATGTGTGTGTGTATCACAATCCAATCATTCCAATGTTTTCTTTGTGAGGCAAAGAACAAAGTAAAGACAAATTAGTCTTAAATTAGCAAAGCTAGAAATTAATTTTAGGCGGTACACTAGGTAAAAAGTCAATAGAAGCCCAACTGGGGAGGATTTCCCAGTGGTCAGTAGCTCTGAATCAACTGCAAAGGCTGAGCTTTTATAAGCCAGCACGAATGAGAATTGTTAAAACAAGACACAAGAAGGAATCAAGAGCCTTGGGCTTGGAAAGTTACTACAGTGGCACCTCGGGTTACATACGCTTCAGGTTACATACGCCTCAGGTTACAGACTCCGCTAACCCAGAAATAGTGCTTCAGGTTAAGAACTTTGCTTCAGGATGAGAACAGAAATCGTGCTTCGGTGGCACGGCAGCAGCAGGAGATCCCATTAGCTAAAGTGGTGCTTCAGGTTAAGGACAGCTTCAGGTTAAGAGCGGACCTCCGGAACGAATTAAGTACTTAACCTGAGGTACCACTGTACATCTGAAATGGAAAGCCTTCAAAAACTGGAAGGCAGGAATACCCCAAGGCCTACAACCACGCTCAGTGAGTGGAAATCTTAGGTACCATCTGCACTACACATTTAAAGCAGAATCATGCCACTTTAAACAGTTGTGACTTCCCCCCAAAATCCTGGGAGTTGTAGTTTGTTAAGGGTGCTGAGAGTTGTTGGGAGACCCCCTAGTCCCCTCCCAGAGCTATAATTCCCAGAGTTCCCTTTGAGGAGGGATTGACTGTTAAACCACTCTGAGAACTCCATTTTGTATCCAAGACTCCGCTTTAAGTTACAGCTGAGGAGGCGTTTGGTAAGCTCCTCAGCCTGAGTTCTCTATCTCTGCAGTTAAAATACTGATTACTTTATCTCACAGGACAGCTGCAATTTTTTTAAAAAAAGTAATGCTTTTGGTTTCTTTTGTCTCTTGTCAGGATGACCATGGGTATATTTCCCGTGAATTCCACCGTCGGTACCGCTTCCCATCCAATGTGGACCAAGCGGCCATCACCTGCTCTCTCTCTGCTGATGGCATGCTGACCTTCTCGGCTCCCAAGGTCCAGTCCAACACTGACCCCAGCCACAGCGAGAGACCCATCCCTGTATCCCGTGAGGAGAAGCCAACCTCGGCTCCTTCTTCTTAGGCTGAACCTGCTGCTGCTGAAGAAGCATCCAGGCTGTCACACTTCACTTGCAGGCCTCATTCACAGAGCCATTACATAGATATCAGTGAATATCTAGAAGGGTTTCTCTCTCTTTCTCTTTTTTGTTCTAATTTTTCTCTTTGATGGAATGAGAGGCTGGGTGAGCGGCTAGAGGACTTTGAAGCTGAAGCCTAAAACATTGTGATGACATTGGAAGGCGAAAGGGTGCTGCAGCAGATCTGACATACTTGCTGAAATGGTCTAGGATGCTGTGCTAGTTTGGATAAACATCTGCCAAGCCCCAAACACAAGAGCTGGCCAGACAGCAGCATTAGCTCTCAATGCATCAATTGTTAATGCTAAGTTTGGTGCAGCGAAAGCAACAGTACAGGCTTGTTCTACCCTAAAGTAATTAAGAGCAAGCGAGAGCTAAGCTGATTAGTGAGAGGGGAGAAGAAGAGGAAGAAAGAGTGGGTGGTACTTGTAACGAATGTGCCATGCACTTTTTAAAAGGAGGAAAAACCACAAAAAGTGTTTGGAAAGGGTTGTAACTTTTTTCTAGCAAAGTTGAAAGAGGGGGGGAAAGTACATCCATTTACAACATCAACTGTCGTTTCCTCTGCTGGTGCAAGGACAAGCACATCTCTCCATGGTCTTTGCAGACCCACTCGGGGGTCCATCACAAGTGCTGAGGCTTCAAATCCCTACTGAGCTTTCCCCCAGGCCTGCGTGTTATCACACCATCTTCCTTAATCTTGCTGTAATTCTAACATAGCTCCACCTCTTTTACTGATGTCTGGCGCAATCTGAGAACTCAGCCAGTGGCAGTCAATAAAGAAAATGTGAAACAAGCAACGTGTCTTCTTTCCCCACCAACCTGCCCACCTTCTTCTCTCTGTTTCTCCACGAAGCCTTCTCTAACCTTCTGTCCAACGTGGAGCTCAAACCCATGATTCTGAGATTAAGAGTTTCATGCTCTAGCAACTGTGCTCTCTCTCTCTCTCTTGTATGAGCTATTCTTTCTCCAAGGAAGTACAGTTGAACCTTGGTTTTCGAACAGCTTAGTTCACAAACAACTTGGAACTTGAACGTCGCAAACCTGGAAGTAGGTGTTCTGGTTTGCAAACTTTGCCTTGGAAGCTGAACGTCCGGCACGACTTCCACAGCTTCTGGTTGGCTGCAGGATGCTCCTGCAGCCAATTAGAAGCCGTGCCTTGGTTTCCGAATGTTTCGGAAGTCGGATGGACTTCCAGAACTCATTCTGTTTGAAAAACAAGGTACAACTGTATAGCAATGCCGATCCCTGCCCATCTATGCAACTCACTGGGTGACTTTGGGCCAGTTATCTTTCAGCCTACCTCGCAAGGTTGTTCTGAAGATTAAAGGGACAGGGGGGAGAACTGTGTACATCGTCCTGATCTCCTTGGAGGAAGGATGCAATATAAATGCAATAATTATATTGAGTATCATATACAATTGTGTATCATACATTCTGTTGCTACAAGGTATTGGGTTGGTATCCTGCACTTGGAAGAATTTACAGTCCAGACACTCAACCATTTTTGACATAGACAGAGAATGGAATTGAAGTAGGAGAGTGAATGGACTCTCTTAACTGGACAGGAAGTGGCTACCATTTGAACATCGATAATTAGGCTACGCTTTGAGTATCATATATTGTTAGCAGTGCTAGGAACTGAAACAAGCCCATTTCCACAATAAGATTTTCAATCTTCAGAAACAAGTGAGAAGTCAAATGAGTGAAGCTTTCAGGCAAGGAGGGTCCTGCTCTGGGTGAGAATTGGGCTAGATGGCCTTCCCATTATCTTCCAGACCTATAAGCCTTTCTCTGTCTCTAATAACTTATGTATACCTTTTTAACGTTACGGACTGCACTCAGGTGCATTCATCACAATAACGCGATTTGAATGCCTTTTAAACATAGAATACCAGATGGCGCCAAAGAGTGAGAATTGTTTAAAATGGGATTTCTCATTGTAATTTTTCCTTTTGGTAAAAACAATCTAATTTCTGACTTATTTACAGTGTTGTATTCCTGTGTTTAGATCCAACCATCTGATAGCGATCATGCAGCTGGTTGCCTAATGTGAAGCAATTGCTTTGCACTCTAGCTACCACAAGAGGTCAGGCTTTGCTATAGTTCTGGTAAGGGAATCCAAAAATTGTGAAGTGGATTTCTAATGTCTTCCGGGAATCAGCTAAAGTAAAACTCCTGTCCGCATTTAGTAAGGAAAAAGGTGTCTGGTAATAGCAATACTTTCACAAATGGCACAAAACGGATCAAAGTTGGCTCTATACTGCTTTTGACAGCCCCTCAGTTGCATCTGTTCTTTGATGTCCATAAAATAGGGAGAAAATCTCCCATCAAATAATTCATCAAATAATTGCAGATCAATTCAGCATTTAGAACAGAGATAGCTACCCTTAGGGGAATGTTGTGTACTTTCTGAATGTGGCATGGCAGCTTTTAAAACCTAAATGAGAGCATACTGCAAATTCACATCTTAGACTCCAGGCAGAAAGACAATTTAAGTTTGTTTAAACGATACATCATAGAAAAGTTATTATTTTCACATAACATACTATAAATGTTAACAATGTTATGCCATAAAAACTTGTCCTGCCAAGGTATTATTGCATGCTACCCTAATCTCTGAGCAGTGTGAGATTCCAGGGGTCCCAGGGCTCACTCAGATTTCGTGTTTCCCTTTGGGAATGAGACAGTGGAGAATGTGGTGTCTTTATGATATATGGTTTATTTACGCACATATACAACCTGAGCCTATGATGGAGGGGTTCAAAGCATCAACACCAAGTAGGTCCTGCTACTCCCATAGCTGCAGCCTTGGATTAAAACCGAAATCAAACATTGTGCTCTGCCTCTCTGGTTTTCCAGTCTGAAGCTTTCCCCTCACATTACAGCAAACTCTGCCCTCTCAATTCAGGCTTTGTCCTTATAATTATCTCTGAGTTGAGGGATGGGGCCCAACCCATTTGCTGTCTGCCACAGAGCCTCCTTTCTTTGTTCTCTTATTGGCTCATCACCCAGGTGATCACCTTCAACCCAGGAAGCTAGCTTGGCTTACATTTTAACACTTGCTGGATCCAGGGATCAGAAGGCTTGATTAGAATTTAACAGCCACAAACTCATAACAATATAAGATCCTGCTGTCCATGCACTGTTTACAAAAGAGGCCACTTATTCAGTAATGTTTCTGTCATAGATGGCCAGCAGAAATCCACATTTTTGTTGAACAGAGCAGTAGACATTGTCTGAGAGAAAATGCCTCTTTACAAATATAAGCAGCTTAGCAGGTGATGAGGAGCTCCTTAGCCGCACAGTTCCTGTCATTGCTCTCCTGAAAATACATCTGAAAATATCTCTTGTAAATATGGTTTACAGGGAGCTAATCTGCCCACTTTCAACCCAGCCCAAATATTTTTTCATTCTATTTTCAAACAATGCTTTGACTGTTTACAAATCCACAGTGGGTAAGCAGAGCTGTGTGGTGTACACAGTGAGGATAGCCACAACCCCTATCGATCCGGTTGTTTCTTACACATTATTATATGACCCCACCCCTGAACCAATTTTGATCTGAATTGAGATAAAGAACAATCTTTTAAAGCTAGTGATGTGTACACAGTCTAAACAAGGGATAACCTGAAGGACACACTTAAGGCCAGAATTAATAGTTCCTGGTCCTTTAATAGGATGAATTTTGGCCCTATCTAAAACAGGCCAAACACCATCTTCCTGATCAACTGGATCTTGTGGTTCTAAGACATCTTGTGATCCACCCCAGCATGGCCCTGACATGCCCCATTTCCAAATCCCTAGCAGCAGTGACCCACCACTGGCAATATGTCTATGCCTATGGAACACCCCATGGGCAAATCTAGGGTTTCCTGAGGGACGTATGTGCTGCCCCATGGAGGCAGCTCCATTCCAGTGATGGAACAGCATTTACACTGTATCCTAAGGCTGGCATTGTTTCTCATCACATATGACACCCCGCTGCCATTTCCAGCTAAAAGTTTGCCAACACAACCAACGACTTTCATTAAAAACAATAATTCAATAATTATGTTCATTAATTACATTCCAAATAGTCACAAGATAAAACAGATGAACAATGGAACACAGCATAATGGGTAAAACGCTTCATATGAAATGTGAAGCGGCCTGGACCCTGCACTCATCATCTGAGGCCCTTGTGTGCCTCCTTCATGAAAGTTTTGGAGGGCGGCAACACGAGAAGGGGCCTTTTCTGCAGTGGCTCCCCACTTGTGGAATGCTCTCCCCAGAGAAGTTCGCCTGGAGCCTTGGTTACATATTTTTAGGAACCAGGCAACTATACCCCCCTTCTCGCAGGCCTTTGGCTAATTAAATAATCTATTTAACAATACATGGCTTTTAAAACTGTGGGTGTGGTTATTGTTTTTGTTTGTTATTATGCTATGCATTTTGGTGTTTATATATTGTAAGTTACCCTGTGATCCTCGGATGAAAGGCGGTAAAGAAATTTTATAAATAAAGGAAAAACGGAAAATCTCATTAAAACAGAACAGTTTTCAGCAGCTACTGGAAGACACAAAGATGGCTCTCCTTTTTTATTTTTTATTTTAGAAACAGAATTAGGTCCCTTTCTATTTTTCAGAAAGCTGAGTGGTGTTCTTGTCACTCATGATTATAGCTTTGCTTCCTCTCCTCTCCTCTCTCCCCTATTAAAAGGAAGATAAGTAATGGTAGAGATAACCTCCTGCTCACCCCTCCTGTTTCCATGCACCACTGGAAACAGGAATAGTAGAAGTTCTGCTTTTATTTCAGATTGCAGGGGGGAAAGAAAGGGTCACAGAGTGGCCAACTAAGGAGGACCCTTGACTCTCGCTCCCCCACCCCCGCTGCCCAGTTGGCAAGAAAGGATGCTACCATCAGCACTTCTCCATCACCCAAAATGAGGAAATACTTCACCACAAAAGGAACAAGAGAGGACTCATCTTTCCGTTAAACAAAAATGTAGGAATAATTGCTATAATTTAAAAAGAAATACACAATATGTCTTATCATAGTGAGGAAGATTGTTACCAGGTGGCAGGGCTGGATTTAGATGAAGAGAGGCCCTAGGCTACTCCTCTTGTGAGGCCCCTCCCCCCACCCCACCCTCACAACTAGAACTAGTTACAGTGCTACCTTGGGATGCGAACGAGATCCGTTCCGGAGCCTCATTCGCATCCTGAAGAGAATCCAAGATGCAACGGCGCATGTGCGCGGGTCGCGTTTCGCCGCTTCCGCGCATGCGTGTGACCTCATTTTGAGCGTCTGTGCATGCACAAGCAGCAAAACCCGGAAGTAACGCGCTCCATTACTTCCGGGTTGCCGCGGAGCGCAACTCAAACGCGCTCAACCCGAAGCACATTCAACTCGAGGTATGACTGTACTAACAATAGCTTTATCTGCTATGACTGTTTTAGCAAACTCTTCAGCATACCTTTTGGGTGGTTTACCCAAAGTTTACCCTCTCTGCAGGGACAGGCACTCAACTGTGCCATGTAGATTTCATCCCTGACTAACCTAGACTTTTGTTTTAGTTTATTATGCCAAATTTGTTTCGTGTGTGATAATGGGGAAAAATGCCACAAACATTTATGGAGCACACTGTTTCACAGCACCCAATGCACTTTTAGTACAGCTCAGGAAGGCTTAATGGAGGCATAATGCCTTCCCTAAATGTATTTGTTCTCTCTAAATAAGTAATAGGGTCTCGGGACTTTAACCATGGGGTGACCTTTAAGCACCCTCATTTAAATTAATGGGTATATTCTGAGTATGGCTTAGATATCACCGATTATTTGTGTGCAGTGAGATTCCCTCCTTTAAAAAAAAATTTTTTTATATACGTGGATATGTTAAAAAAAAATCATACCATTCTGAATGAAGTTAAACACTTCTGACCAATCTGAAGCTATTTTAAAGCAGTATTATGAGGAAAAATGAAAATGTTTTTGACATGTATTTCTTGGAGATTATGGTCCTGAATGATCAGGGCCAGCCTTTCCCAACTTGGCTCTCCCTCCCAGATGTTTTGTGCTGGCTGGGGCTGATGGGAGTTGTAGTCCAAGACACCTGGAGGGCGCCAGGTTGGGGGAGACTGGCCTGTGCCATTTAAACAGCACCATATATGGTAGCCGATCCTGCTCCTTTTGTTCTTCCACAGAAAGCACAGCTCGATCAAGCAGTAAACTACCATACTGAGTCCTGCTGCTGCTGCTGCTGCTGCTCTCGATGTTTCCTGCCTTTGTTCTGGAAAATGACAAGCCCGTATTGTTTTTCAGCTGAGGAAAGAGCAGCACTGCACACACCTTCAGCCAAGCTGCTAGCATTAATCACACCAATCACATTACCCCAAACCCGTGTGGATAAAGTGACACCGCCCTGCAGCGAGAGCTGCAAAAAGCGCCAGGCCCAACCAATTTGGCTAAGCCTTGCACAATGGCACAAATGTCCTTCCTTCAGCGAAAAAACGAAGGTTGAAAATAAGCCTGCCTTCCAGAGGGGGGCCCTGCTGCAGCACTTTGCTGCCGGCATGTGACATGAGCGAGGATTATTTGCAGGAGTACATTAAGAGCAGCACTTGATTACAGCAGTGTCAAGCTGCGCTCAAAGGCTCGGTTCTTTCAGCAGTGGCGGTAATGACCGTTGCTCGTGTCTCCGAGAGGCATGCGGCGGTCAACGAGGTCTTCTGTAACGCTTCCAGGTAGTGCCCATCCTAAATTACCGCGCTTGCTAATTAAGTGGCTGGGCACTGTTATTCTGGCTATCTCCCAGGTTCCCCTCAAGACCCTAGTTATCTATTAACTTTACACTGTGTCTGGTTTGTACCAGTTCTTCTGGCAGCAACCAGCCTGAATGGCAAAGTGGTCACTTGACGCCGTGGCCATTTTAAAACCCTGACTTATTGGGGGAAGGGCTGTGGCTCAGGGGCACAGCACCTGCGTGCTTTGCAGGCCCAGGGTCCCAAGTTCAAGCCTGACATCTCCAGGTAGCGCTGGGAGCCTTTCCTGTCTGAAATCCTGGAGAGTTTCTGCCAGTCACTGCGAACAACACTGAGCTAGACAGACCAAAACAGCCTGACTCTCAGCATAAGGAAGCACCCTGTGTTCCTTTGTTTTGTGACATCAAACCCCAAATCAGGCATGGCCAAACTTGGCCCGGCAGCTGTTTTGGGACTACAGTTCCCATCATCCCTGACCACTGGTCCTGTTAGCTAGGGATGATGGGAGTTGTAGTCCCAAAACAGCTGAAGGGCCAGGTTTGGCCATGCCTGCCCTAAATGGACCTAAAGAAGCAAAGACAGGAGTAGGCATGTACTGTTCTACTGCCTTCGAGGTCTCTTTTCACTTTTGAACTGTGTTACTTGTGTGCAAATGTTGCAAATGTAGGATAGAGAGACCAAGGCTGTGTACACACAGCATACAGTGGTGCCCCGCAAGACGAATGCCTTGCAAGACGAAAAACTCGCTAGACGAAAGGGTTTTCCGTTTTTTGAGTCGTTCCGCAAGACGAATTTCCCTATGGGCTTGCTTCGCAAGACGAAACGTCTTGCGAGTTCTTGCGAGTTTGTTTCCTTTTTCTTAAAGCCACTAAGCCGTTAATAGCCGCTAAGCCGCTAATAGCCGTGCTTCGCAAGACGAAAAAACCGCAAGACGAAGAGACTCACGGAACGGATTAATTTCGTCTTGCGAGGCACCACTGTATTTTTAAAGCGCTCCTAAATCATGCCGGGAACTGTACGCTGGGAGTTGTAGTATTGTGAGGGGTAAGCTGCAGTTCCCAGGATTCTTGTGGGAGGGCAGAACGTGCTTTAAATAAATAATGTTTACGCAGCCCAGTGTACATTTTAAAATCAGATATACTATTATGAACAGGGGCGGGAGAGATACCTCCCAACCCAATAAATTAATGAATGTCAGACTCTAGCTAATATTTGGGATATTGAATGAAGGAGGGAAATATAGGCTGCAGTAGTTCTCTTGAACTGTGCCAAAGGAAATTCCTGGGTTTAGCCTATGCAAACTAGGCTAGCTGGGCTGGTTGAATGTAAGACATTATGAATCAATGACTAGGCATTTGCGCATCAAAGAAGATGCTCAGGTCTGTGCAAAAATAGAGGCTGCCAAGAAACCATGCCTACCCTTGTGGATGGCAGGATCTAGAATCAATCTAGATTGAAAGGATGAGTTCAAATGATTCCAAATTGAGAAAAAAGGTGTGTGTGTTTTTTAATTCTACAAGTGGGCTAGGGTGTAAACAGCCTGAATTCTTACTGAATTCTGGAGCATTTAAAGGATTGTGGATTTGGACAGGGAAATTCTATTCAATTATATGGGCTACAAACTCCCCCACCCTTTAAATGATGGTTTGTTTGTGGCTTTGTAGGTAACTCTCCTTCAGTGCAATAGGCAAGAATGACAACAATATTTCTTCAGGTCAATTACAGTGGCTTGGACCACTTCTGAAGTTGAACTAGGCAATTACTACAGTATACTTAGCCGAGTGGTCAGTTACTTCACCACATAATGCCACATAAAAGAACTTTTAATGTTGAAATCATGGATGGGGATGAGGAGGTTGAACTGAAGCAACTGTGCAAAAACAGACATTCTGAAGTAAAGATGTGCAGCCTTCCAAAATAAAGACTGCTTTTCCCAATTGTTTTCTTCCCTAACTCAGGAGCCAAGAGGGCAAAAACAAAACAAAACAACATAAAATAAAATACCCATAACGATGTTAAAACCTCAGGTTATTCTTGCTTGTCAATGCAAGGTGATTTCAACAAAACCAAAGAGCTTCACAAGGAACTACTTGAAATTTGCTCCTTGTCACACCAGCCAGCCAATTAAATTCATTTCAGGGACCATTTAGAGTGAGATGGAGGATTCAATTAGAGTGTTCTGGCCATGATTCACTGTCCTCCATTTTCTCACAGAAAAGAGGGGTTCAAAGAATAATGGGCTTCTGCAGCCATTTTAAGTGAAGGGGAGATATGTAAGAGTCAACAAAAATGAAACAAAGGAGAGCAGCACCAGCTTCCAAAATCAACAAACCAAGTGAGCAAAAAAGGTGCCAAAAACTATTTATTGAAGAACTTCAAAATATTTGTTCTGCCTGATGTGCTTCGCATGAATGTAGTCAGCAGAGCACATTCCTCATGCAGTAGATATGAAATGACCTTTGCTTCTGATTATGAGTTACATTTTACTTAAAATGCTAGAGGCATAACAACCCTCTGGAGTGAAGTGATATGAAAATACTTGTTTTTAAAGTACCTTTTGAGGTTTATCTCACTTGGTTTGCTGGAAATGTGTAAGTCCCCATTTTGCAAGTCACTGATATATACAGGGAGTGTGGCAGGATTTGTGAATATTAGCAAGAACACTCAGAAGTTCCTCTGGGCACAAATATCGAAGGACTAATGAACTGAAATGGGCAATAATGGAATTTGCTGGTTAGTTTGGCTGCATACGTAGGGTTAAATTGCATTCTCAGGAAATGTGTCTGTTGCACATGCATGCGCTTCACTGTATGATCAGGCTACAACAGGTAGTTATTAAAACACGAACTTTTGGGATTCCCAAAAAGGGGAAAGGGAGGAAAAGAAGGAAGAAGGGAGCAGGAGCAGGAGGGGGGAAATTGGGAGTCCAATCTGGAGGGAACCGCTGCCTCAGTCCTGGGCCTCGCCTCCCCTCCACTGTGCTCAGCCCAGCCCAGCTCCAGCCACCACAGCCACTGCCAGCCCCTCACTGCCCGGCAGGTGGCTCCAGCAGAGGAGGGGACGGGGTGAGGGAAAGTGTTGGGAAGGAGGAGAGAGGCCAGGCAGGCAGGCAGGCAGGCCAGGCAACGTGATCCATGAATAGAGGAAACCACCAAAGCCCTTTTGACTCATGGAGCTGAGTTATCTATCCCTGTTCAATTTCAGGCTTCCTCATATTGCCCTGTAGGATACCCCCACTCATCTGACTCAATCAGCACACAAAGAGCATGATTCAGGCAGAGTTGTAATTGTAAACAAGGCGCTCTCTCTCTCTCTCTCTCTCTCTCTCTCTGTGTGTGTGTGTGTGTGTGCAATTGTAAATACTTATAGCAAAACTGTGTTGTGCAAAACTGTGTTTAAGTTGTCCCTAAGCTCTTAGCAAATCTTGACTGGAGTGCAGGTACTAAACTGACCATGAGCTAAAATCACCGTGAGGACTTTGCCTCATCTACCTGGGATTCTGACTCCCCATAACCTCTTCCGTGTTCCTATGGGGTGTGCTCTAAATGTCAGGAATGTGGCGACTTGGTCTACAGGGCTGCAATCTGATGCTTTAAAACTGAAATCTGGATTCTGCAGTTGCAATGCTTTTGTAAGGACCTAAGAAGAACCCTGCTCAACATTCTGTTCTCACAGTCGCCACCCAGATGCTTATGGGAAACCCACAAGCAAGGCATGAGCAGCACTCTTCTTCTTATGAAGTCCAGCAACTGTTTTCCAGAAGCATGGGACCTCTGAGACTGGCCAGAACATATAGCCACTAATAGCTCTATGAATCTATCTAATCCCCTTTGGAAGCTGTACAAGTTGGCATCTATCACTACATCTTGTGGCAGCATGCTCTATACTATAGTTTAATCATGTCCTTCATTCTGATATGCAGTTTTGATCCATTTGGCCAGGTTCACGTTTATATTCATTTGGGCAGACGCACTATTTCCTACCGCAGCGACCTGTGACAAAAAGGAAAGCAAGACCTGCCAAGACCCTTGACACTGTTGTGTCACCTAAACTCACAAAGGGTCTCTCCATGGGTTCAAGAACTGGAAAATATGGTTCAAAAGCAGTTCTGGGCAGTCCAACTTTGAGCCATAAGAGCCATTACTTTAACACATTGCTGACTTTCTGAGAAGAGCATGGGAGGGTTCCAGACAGAGCCAGCTCAAGCCATTTTACAGCCTGAGGTAAAAGGCAAGATGAAATACAAGATGACTCCCTCCATTCAACATACAGAAGCCAACCAGCCTGGCAATTGAACCTTACTTCAACACTGAAGTGAGCAACAGTGTCCTCCACTGCACCTGAGGGAAACAGGACTAGCTTAGGGATGCAGGTCAGGCCATATGGTACACATTGCTCTCTCCCCTGCCCCCTCCCAGCATCTGCTGCCTGAATGGGCTGTCTCACTCTGCCTAATGGTAGGGCCAGACCAGCTTCCAGAGGGAAAAGATACCCACTTTCCTTAGAGTAGATTCTCCATTTCCAGTTAAGAGTTTCACTTTCTACCATTTTGTTAAATCCTCTGCATCCTAGGTAGTACAGGGAGAAGGAAGGACAGCATTTTTGTGTAAAATTAAAACACTGGCTTTGATCTGGAAAACATGCTTCCTCCTGGCAAAGGTTGTCTGAAGTCCTGTTTATAGAACTGTTCTGCACAGCATCTGTCAGATTTTTCAAAACTACAAAATCTGACAGGAAACGCACTTAAACACACACAAACATAGGAGACAGAAATGACTTGAAGCTAATGTGACAGCAAGGATTGGACAGGTTTTTAATTGATCTTGACAGCTCTGACATCACTGCATGCCTGGAAGTCTGTGTTACTAATGGACTGAGTGGCAAGCAAAGTAGGTCATGAACCCTGGGGCTCTCCACTTGCGATAACAGAACACGCCCTTCCATGGGTAGAAACGTATATGTGAGCGTGTTTGTGTTTCAATATGTACACATATTGCAAACAAAAATATAAATTATGGATTGGATTCAGGCTAAGTTACTTCGATTGTTATGGAAATCAACAGGACTTAAAAGTCCCGACTTACAGTACTTGTCTCTGTTATTTCAAGGGGACCTAAGTTCAACTACCTCTGTCTGATTCCAAACCCATATATGTGTGTGTGTGTGTGTGTGTGTGTGTGTGTGTTAGTTTAAGAACAGAGTTAAGGCTATCTCACATTGGCTCAAGCATCAGAAGGCCAGAAAGCTTGAAGCCAAGGCTGATGGCTGATGCCTTAACACAGTGGTGTCCAAATTTTTTTCAAAGCGGGCATTTGATGAAGTGAAGGGCTGTGAGGACCGACCAAAGTTGTTAACATTTGGGGGGGGGGGTTGAAGTTGTTGAGGGTTTTTTTAGGATTTTGCCCCAGGAAATAAACTGCCACAGGGGCCAGATTAAACCGACCGGCGGGCCGGATTAGACCCCTGAAATGGACTTTGGACATGCCTGCCTTAACAGCAGTGCCCCATGGTCAGCAATGCTGTTGTGAAGTGTCACAAATTTCATTTGCTTACAACTTACCCATACTTTTGCTCGGTCTTTCAGGTCCAAACCCAGATGAGGAAGATGGAGTGCTTGGGACCAGCAAAGATTCCCCACACTGTCCTGGGCTTGTATTGCCTTATGAAGCACCTGAGCCTTACTTTATTGCTGGAGGAATTATCTCCAGTGGGTTGAACTATGTCTGTTTGTTGCTTACCTTCGGGGGGGGGGGGACCACACAAACAAGTCATAAGCTGCACAATTGTGGTGTGAGAGTACAGTGATACAGCTGCATCTTCTCTGAAGGTATCTGAATAATGATACCCTTGGATCAATGGATCTGTGAGTGAGTGATTGGATCTCAGGCATCCAGCCAAGCATAGTGTGGTCCACGCAGGGGCCTGCCCAGTGGCGGACCTTGGCGTCTGTCTCAAATTTCAGTGGTGCCCTGTGCAATGCCAAAAGCCAGCACCCCCACCTATCGCCTCCCGTAGGACATCATAGTTGCAGTGCCTGCAGTTGCACACCAGAAGCTCTGCACCCGGTGTGACCGAAACTGTCTAGGACAAGGTTGTGAACAGTTAGTACTGTTGGCTATTATTAACTAATGCACAAAAGAACATCCTTTATACTTCTTCCCAATGCCCCCAGTGCTAATGCCCAAATCTGCCATTTCCACTGACTTCAGTTTTTCTCTTTCTTTTTCTTCTTCTTCTTCTTCTTCATCATCATCATCATCTCCAAAGCAGCATTAACAGGGTTGGAGTGCACAAAGGAGCGACCAGCCACTAATGTTTTATGAAACTCATAAGCTTCTCTACCTAGGCTGATTACTTGAGTTGCTTATTAGTGTTGCACCTGCTATAAATGGTACTGATGGCAAATTAGATGGAAAAACATGCAAATACCTTGCTAGCTTGCTGGTAAATTAGCATGCAAATGGCATAAAGGTGAATATAGCTTTGAGGAGAAATGCACTAACATAATTTGACTAATTACTGAAGCAGGGAAATAAAAAAGAACATAGATTTTGGCGAGGGGATTCCAGTAAACATCAATCTACCGAGGCATCTCACTTTCATCAGTTCATCAGATAATGCAAAGCAAACAGCTTGTGATTTATTTATTTTTAAAAATGCTGGCGGTGATAGCCACCTGCAGCCTTTAGAGTCACAAAGGTTCCAGGAAACTTCAATTAATAGTTATTTACTTGTGGGACCAGTCAGTTTTATTGCTTCCTGTTGATGCTGGCTTGGGTATTAACGATAAATGGTTGTGGGACCTTTGCTGAGCATCGAGGGAGGATGCTGGCCATAAGGAAGGACATTACTGGATAGCAATAAAGTGCTCTGTGGAATCTGGTTTAATTCTGCTTCTAGCTCCTTGTGGAAAAACAGTGCCTCAGCAGCCCTAAAGGTCTCTTCTGTGAGTCAACTCTTCTGCTGCTCCAGAACAGAAACTACTCCCCTCTACACACCCTGACCCTAACCCCATCACCCTTCTGCCTAACATTAAAATTGAGCTGAGTGCTCCCTTTAAAAAAACAAAGAAACAGGTCTTCCTCTCAGAAACATACTTCAATCAAAAACATATTCTAGACTACCTTTAGATTTCTGTCCACACAAAATATGCATACAATATTTACAAAAATCTAGAGAGCTGAAAAGATTTATCAGTCACAGAACAAGCATGAATCAGTCCTAGCAAGTGTTATTTTCTTCTAGAATATTGTTGCTGCTTATAACCTTCTTTTCATTTATGAATTGCTCCCTATGAAGATTTTTGAAGCAATGTTTAAATAGGCTATGAGCTTGCTTCACTACTGAACTATGGCTCTTCTCTTGTACATTATACAGAACTAAGAATTATCCTTTTAAAACTCTTTTCCTTTCAATATCACCTTCAGGAGAAGGACTCCTTTATAGTTTTAGTATTTCCCACTTACCCCCTCCCCCCTTTAATATTTTTGATCAGTATGGCAGAAGAGGCATATTTCCCATTGGTAAAGAACCACGTTAGTGTGTAGGAGATAATTCAAATGTCTTGGATATAAATTATATTCAGAAGTATAATGTGGAATGGCTGCTCCTGGACGGAACCACTTCAGACTCTAGGTGGGGTAAATTGCAGCTTGAATGCTCCCACCACATCAGGCAATTCCTGTCTTTGGGAGCTACCATTTCCCCTCCCTGACGATTTGCTTTGTATTTAAATAGTGTACTATTGTTATACCTGGCTAGGTTTTTTATTCATTTCAAAACTGAGCAGACTGAACAACTGCACTTTGAAGTACTGTAAATTCAGTGCAACCTGCTCCTGGGTAAAGCTGTACAGAAATTTGGTGGTCAGATGGTTCAAGGAGCACATTTATGATGACACTCCATTCACCACCGCAAACAATTCACCTGAATTACATGCTGGTTAATTTGCATATTTTATCTGCTCCATCTTGCCCTAAACTATTGACACATCCCCTTCCTCCAATATTTAGATTTCCTTGACTCCGTGTCTAATACTGCACAGGGCTTTTCACCCTTTAGATCTTGCCATTTTCTCAGGGTCAATGCACTTATCATTTCAGGCTTGATAATTGTGATTATATTCCCCACAGGAGGTAAAAACAGAGAGATGCTTTGTCACACCAGCAACATCTACAAGAACAAAAGCCTGAAAACTGAATCTAGACAATATTACCTGAAGGGCTTTGCATAATCTATTTGCTTTTCACTGCTGATTTTTATATCATTCTCATTTAATAAATACAGTACAGTATTTGTCTTTTGCTCAGATCTTTGGTTTTTCTCCTCTCTTCATTTGAGTTCTTAATTTTAACGTTGAATTAAATACTTTTGTCTTGTGACAAATGATGATGAATATGAATCCTTAACACACAAACACATTTTTAAATTTTAGTTGGGATTTGGAACAGGGATTTGTTTATTTATTTTTCCTTGTAGAAGTGTCCCTAGTACATTTTAAGGCATGATTCAAATAAATTACAATCAAACAGAACCACTTGTAAATCATGGAGAGGGGACTTTCACAGAGAGGGACATAAATGTGTCCATGCTTCAGAGGAAATAGAATACATAGGTATTTAAGGGAAGCCAGAAATATGTTGACAGGCAGGCAGAGCAACACCTCGTTGATAGGGGTATCAAAATCATTAGGACACTTCTGTAATGCATAGGAACATTTACATTTGGCACTCATGCACTACAAGCAGGATGGGGAGAAATTTGATTCAGTTCACATTTAATGGCAAACCTAACTAATTTGCATTTCTTGAAATAATATACGAACTGAAACACAATCCTTCAAAACTCACACTGTTCTGAATTTTGCAATGCAGTTCCCCAGCCAAGTAATGTGTACCAAAAAAATTCATATATTAGGTAAAGTTTGCATAAAATGCATATATTGGTGAAAATAACATTTAAAAATGTATTACATATATATATATGGGGAAGTTGCTTCGCAAAAAACAACAATATGCCTATTAGGTAAAACTGCGCACAAAATTGTGTTTATTAGGAGAAAGTTTCACCAAATGCTAATGATTTGTAATTAGGATTTGCAAAAGAAATTGTAAGCCAATGTGGAAATGTAGAGAAATGAATTTCAGATGGGGGGGACAACTGAGAAATGAAAGGAACTCTAGATTGACAGATTTGCCCATCCCTAACTATAAGACATCCTGATCACTGGAAAAGTCTCAAAAACTGAAAGGTACAAATATATGTCCCTCTAGGTGCTGGCATTTTTTTTGGGGGGGGGGAGCTTTTAATTTGCCCCTTCTCTGCTTTCAATTCTTTCATCTTTGCCTGCTTCCTAATGGTGCATTTGACCCTTGCCTGTGTTTTCATGTTGTTGCTTAATACAGTGTTGTGAGGCCCTTGTGCGTGAGCAGTTAAATCTGATCTGGTTTCGGAGATCAAAGCTCATTCACAGGGCCCTTGTGACAAGGTGCTGTTTTTAAACATTCTGAATTGGCAGCCCAGATTCAAGAGTGTTCCTAGCTAAGCATTTCTCTGAGTGCTTTATCATTAACGCAAGCTGCTATTCAGTCCACCACCACTCAAAACACTTTAGGGACGAAGCTCAGATCAAGCTCTCCATATGGTGTTTAAGAGTTCCTACAGCGTGACACAATTTCCTATGCTTCTACGCAGGAAGCAGTGCGCAAACTGTTCACCTCAAACAATTATATACTTACCTGTTTCACTGCATGTACACATAGTGCTCACATTGCTGCTGGGATACAGGACCCAATTGTGGTTTTCCGTGGCAGATATGCCCAATAAAAGAGATGTGGGAGCATTCGTTACCAACATTGAGAGCTGCACCCGATGTGCATGCCATTTTCAATGCAGAAGTGGAGGGAATTTGCTAGATTTGCTGTGCCTGAAAGTACTGAGGGAAACCAGTGGCCACCTCCAGTTTGACCTGCTACATACTGGTGGCAGGGCTGGCATCTGGAGTCAGTATTCTCCAGCACCTGCCAAGGCCTGTGCTGTGGCAGGGGGTTCCCTGTCAACCGCTAGAGCCTTCTGTTCCTTCTCTTAGCTGTTGATGCCTTTTCGCCTGCAGAATGTTGTTGTGACATCACCAGGCCTTGCCTTTGAGCCTCAGGGATCGGGATGCTGACAGCGGTTAAATCACATGCTGTTGACCAGATAACCCTAGCATAGGGGTGAGAACCCTTTTCAGGCTGAGGGCCACGTTCCCTTCTCAGCAAGCTTCTGAGGGCCACATGCCTATAATGGGAGGGGAAAGAAGCAAAAGTGGGCAGTGCAATGGGTGTAAATGTTACCTTCCAACACACACACACACACACACACACACACACACACTGTCCTCCATCCAAGCAAGCAAGGGTCATGATTAGAGTTCAGGAACACATTCCAGCCAGCCAAAAGCACTAGTATTGCAAAGCAGTGGCAATGAGGGGTGTGGCCTGTGGAGAGTCCTGAGGGCCAGGCATAGAGGTTTGGAGGGCCACATTCAGCCACCAAACACATGGTTCCCCATCCCTGTCCTAGGCCCCTGTCCCAAGGCCAGGCCTCTCAAAATCTGGAGCCAGACCTGAGAAGTGGAACTGATAAATGGCATATGGGAAGAGTACCTCAGTGCCTCTGGAATACTCTAGCTGAAACTTTGCAGCATTAAACAGGGGAATATTCCTTTTTCGCCAAGCACTGACCACCCAATTTGTAATACCATTTTTTATAACTGGAATGAGCAAGTTTCCCTTTTATTAACTCCCTAGACCTGCCATGTTTGCAGATTCCATATATATTTTCATGGCAATTCTTGGATCTGAACAAGTTTCTTGTCCCTCTGTTAACAGCTGGGGCACCCAATATAGAACCCTCCAGACTACAATTCCCATCAGCCCCAACCAGCACGGCCAATGGTCAGGGAGGAGGGGAACTGTAGTCTGGAGGTAACCACACTGGCTGCCCTTGGGATATAGGATTGAACGCCATGACTTAAAATGATCTCTCTTAATAGGGAGGTTGCTCAATATTGAACTGCAGAGGCTGACATAAGTACTGAAGAATGATTTGTGGTCTGTTTCGGATGCTGGATTTTTCTTCCTATCAGCTTTGTCTTTTTCTGTCACTGTCTCAAGTTTCTCCTTTGGTTCACTGAAAAATAAATCTGTAAAGACAAAGCAGGGGGAGGCCACAAGGCAAAATAAACGGGGTCTATTGACTTCAAAGCCATCTCAATGAAAATGCGTCGAGTAATTTCTTAAGAAGCATCCTGGGAAGAAAATAGAAGTCAATACCATGCAGGGAAAAGTCAAATGTTGAGCAATCTCAAATGTATTTACCAATCAATAGCAAAAACCTTCAGCTCTAATATTTCACCCACTAAAATAGCTGTTACTTCTGCAAGATGCCTTATTTCTTCTTCATTGCTCTGCTTGTCTTATGAGTCATATCAGTTTATATAGCATTACACATGCACCTTGAAGGTGGTTAGGGGATCCCATTATTCATTGTGTCACAGAGCATAAATTATATAAAAGAAATCATGTATGTTTTCTTTTAAAGGTCATTGAGTAAGAAAGCGATACCTATTGTGAAAAAGAAGTACACTTGAGAGAAAACAAAAACTTCCTTCAGCAAGCAACCCAAAAGTTCAAAAAGGAATTGAAGTATTAAGTAGCAGCGAAAGTCACAGCTGAGCAAGGTGGAAAAGTGTTGTCTTTCATTGATTCAGTGACTCAGAGCCAAAGTCAACAGCACATTAATACTAATTACTTAAAAGTGGTGGTTTCAGCTTTACATAATGCACCAAAAAAAACCCCTCATGACTTTCCAGTCTGCTGGTCCTTGAACCATCCAGTGCTTGGGCCCCATCCAATGTTGGCTAAGGAATGCAGATTTTGCTTGCAGATCTTCATCTTTCATAGACAAGAAGGCTATCAACAATGAAACCCAATTCTGGGACAGATAAATCCACAGAAGTCAGTATGTAGCAAGAAATAGGTTATCACTAGGAATGGGGGTAAAATTTTGTTCGGTTTGCATTAAACTGCTAATTTTCACTTCCCAAAAGACTATGTAAATGAAAATGCAGCTATCATTTGATAATCACAATTCTCCATATTTTGCAGTACAGTTTCCCAACAAAAAAACCACCACCACAAATATGTCTATTAGAAGAAACAAAATTGCTGATAATTTTTGTGTGTGAGAACTTTCAAAAAGAAAGAGATTGTGAACTGGTGCAGAAATGCAGTGTACAGTGGAACCTCGGTTTTCAAACTTACTCTGGTCCAGAAGACTGTTCGGCTTCCAAACAATTCTAAAACCGAGGATCAATGGGCTGGCTGCAAAGTCAATAGGAAAAAAATGAAAAACACAGCTCAGAAGCTGTTTGGCTTGGGAAATCGTTCAAAAACCAAAGCAGTTACTTCCGGGTTTTCGTCATTCAGGAGCTGAAATGTTCCAAAACGGAGGTGTTCTGGAACTGAGGTTTGACTGTACTAAACTAAAGATTAGGAGAAGGGAATGAGAAATTGGGAGAAACTGAAACTGACAGATTTTCCCATCCCTGGTGTTGATGCATGCATCAGCTCCATTATCAGTTTATAGGACTGGTGAAGGGTGACACTATCTACCTGCCAGCTGGTACCCGAGATGTATGGGTGATGGAATTGGATGGAAACCTCCCATATTCCAATCTATCAAACCGACTGTACTTGTCTTCTGATAGGTGAAGCAGGTCCTAAACTCACTCCAGACACATCTTCTGAGTGTATAGGGCTGTGTGTGAATTTCAGTGGTGTATCTGAATGAGGGTATTGAAAAACTCAACAGCACTGGCTTTTTTGTTGTTACTTTCAATCAGCAACAATGCACACACACACACAAAATTTGAAGCCACTGAGAGATACCACAGCTCATAAATCATATATTTCTAATAGCATTTCAGGGTGCTATTATATTTACTAGTTGTAAGAGCACTTTCAGAAACTAGAAATTAACTTTTCAAGGATTAGCATACTTCAAGTGTGATTTTGTGTCATTTTATCCTATTCATCAGTGCACCTGTGGTGAATTATGGCATCTCAACTTTCAGAAAAGCCAGTTTCTTCTGGGTGCATAGGGGTGGGGAAGGTAGACTCTGTAACAAGGGCTACATTGTGGCAGAAAGTGGCTAACAAGAAAATGTGCCATTTTAAAAGCTGACCATTCCTTGTTCTAGTACTGCTTAATTTAAATTT